CTTTCCCTATATCTGACCCTTCAACTGGATTCACTTTTTCATCATCAAGAATGTTTATGTTTTTAAAGTCCCCACTTAAGCAATTATCATCACCATTAACCCCATCTTCATCAATACCACTGGATTCTACATCCTCATTCACAGTAATTTCAGCTTCAAGAGAAGTAGCCTCATCATTGCTTGAAGCTATCTTATCTACATTACTGTAAACCTTGCCTGCTTTCACATCGGTTGCAACTCCACCTGATTGCAGGCATTCCAAAACACAACGAAGGCTAGATGCATGATTTGCAAATTCCTGGAGTTCCCCCTCAAATTTTGCTCCCTCTAACGTACTCAGATCCTTACAAAGATCAGCAATGCTAGCATGACCAAGTTTTCCCGCTTCATATAGTGTCACAGCATGAGATTTCAAGCCTGAGAAAATGAGTGTTTTAGTAACACTAAAGCAAGTAATATGTGTCACATGAGACTTTATGTCCGAACTCATGAAGAAGGGACCCATACCATCAATCTGATGCACAGGTAGAATAGTACTTAAAGCTTTAAAAATAAATAAAAAAATCCACTTGTAGCGCCTTCAAAATGCAATCAGTAACACCACATTACACTGAATTTTAGCACAAAGAAGAGGATGCTCAGGACACTCGTAAGTCCGAACATATTAAAAGCAGTGTTAAGCTTCACAATTTGAAAAGGAATACAAAGAGACAGAGCACGAAGACTGCTCATGGAATCTGTCAGACCACCTTGTTTTGAGATCAGAGAGAGTAATTATGGGTTCCGAGTCTTGCACAACCAATCATTCAATACTGAATACAGAGATATGATAGGTTTCCTAAATTAACAATAAGAGTAATTTGAAGTCTCTCAAGTCCAACCATAATCGTGAATAGTAACCAAATATGGCTATCATCTGAAACAATGAAAAAATAAACAAACAAAATAAAAGCATAAAGAACAAACCTGGTGAAACAGAACCCATCATAAGATAGGATGTTATGTTAGCATCAACTACAAAGGCAACACGAGCATACATTGAACCTGGCCCATAGTTTTCTGCTCCTGAAGCATCCCCTTGCAAAGCAGCATCACCATCGACGAATATATTTTCTGAGCCTATACTAGCGTGAGAAGCCTCTTCATCACTGAGAATGGCTCTGGGAGATCCCACGCTTGTGTCTTGAAGAATAGACGCTGGATCAATTACTTTTACTGCCCATCCCAATCGACATGCAAAAGATGCAGCGGCCTGCAGCTGTGAAAGGTCAGCCTGTAAAGTTGCTGCGAGCTCAGCAACAGTTGAATTCTCACTTGAAACAACAAAGACTGCATATAGCAACCTAAATCATCATGCAATAAAAAGTATTAGCACACAGTTTCCATGCTGGTTAATTGTATTTAAATGGTACTAGAGGTATCACTAGATTCAAACACTGCCTTACTCCTCAATAGGATCTTCATATGACTGCTCCCTGTTGGAAACAAATCCCTCGAGCCTGGAAACTGCCGATAGAGACCCTTAATTATGTCAGGATCATGAACCGCTGTATCTATCAATATTTATTTTATACTTAAAAAACCAGCAGTTTGCAAGGACAAAACTACACAGAAGAACAATGAATTAGCTCCATATTACCTTTGAAACGGTCATCCGGATAAACAGGGACATCGAAGTATATCAATCCCCACCGATAGAGACCCTTAATTATGTCAGGATCAAATAGGATATAAGAATTTGCCTCCTCCTTGCATACCTTATCTATTGTTGCCATTTCTTCTTCCGATAGTCTCTATAAAGGACCGAAAAAAACATAAGCCTGACAGCAATTACAAATCATGACTAGGAAGCACACGTGTTATCTAATCACTTAGTCTCGAAAGATACTTGGGTGAATAATCTAATCACATGTAGTCACTAGAATTCTCACCTTAAATTCTTCCAATGTAAAGTTGACGAGAGAAACTCCCCACCATGGTTCAATTGCAAAATCAACTGGCTGTGTAGGTAAAAGTTCTTTTGCAATTGACTTGTTCAGCTTCCACATGATCTTCTGCAGTACTCCAAAACAGAGTATACAGCAGGCCATATAATCAGAACCATTACAAATGGATGAAACATACAGGGTCAATCTCCTACTCAAACCAAAAGGGTTCAATATTGCATCACAACAATATACAGCAGAAATTCATTAAAGGTCACTTAAAAAATTATTTCTACTAAGCAGAAAATGGCTGAGAAGAATATTTCACTCTTTTTTTTTTCAAATCCATATGTTCTCCTTCTAAGTTGATAAAAAATACCAAAAATTATTTGCAACCAAGTGAAAGGATGTTTGTTCTAAGCCATGTAGGCAAACAGAGCTTATGGTGGGAGCAACGTTTATTTTTATTTTCTAAACAAGGCATGCATATACGTTCACAACATATCAATACATTATACAAGTGCAAGTAACCTTAGAGCATCTCCAAGGGGACTCTCTAAATTTTAGTTAAATTTTAGCTAAAATGGCTAGAAAGCTATTGTAGCTAGCAACTTTTAGGTGATGCACTTCAACCATACTCTCTATTTTAGCAAAGCATAGATTATTTTAATATTTATTGAGTTTAGAAATATAAAATACTTTATTGAATTTAGAAAGAACCTTTGCATTTATTATGGTTTGAAAGAATAAAATAATACAAAAAATCAAATAGCTAGCCCCTTCTTGCTAGCTATATTTAGCCAATGTGAAATAATTCTCCAAAATAGCTAGTCATTTAGCTAATGGTTGGAGTGGAGAAAAGCTAAATTCTAGCTAAATCATTAGCCATTTTAGCTAAAAATATGAAATGGCTAGCATAGTTGAAGTTGCTCTTAGTAGTCAGTACCTTGGATCTGCACTTGTTCATGATATCAATAAATTCATTTCTTCCTATTCCTGTAAGTCGCAATGCATCTGCAGCACTAAAGTTCGGGATGCTATCATAAGGTTGCTCTGCAAATAACATGAAATACATGAGTATGGTGAACTACTTGAATTTTGAGCAATGTTAAATACACACGGTCTATAAAAATAAATAATAAATAATAAATCCAATTTAACAAAGTTCAATTTTATTAATTAATATACATCCAATTTTCAAGGATTTTTTCTTTCTGCTGCATGAAAGACTAAGATACTAATTCAATAAACTCTTACGATATGTTGTCAATTGCCAAAAGAAATCCAAGTATTACCATTCTTCATAACCTCAAAAATCATATCACAATAGTATCTGAAAGGTGATATCCTCATTACACGGCAAACATACTCTGCAAGGTGATAGGGAAATAGCTGCAAGTAACAAACCCAAACATATATAAATTGAAAAATCATGAAGTAAAAACCTAACTTATAATGTATAAATGAAGCAAAAAAGGGATGTCATCACATCATAACAATTTCAAGAGGGATAGAAAAGGTTACTGTCACGCCCCCCAAACGGGGTGGGTGACGTGGAACTCGATTTGGGATTTATAGAGCAGATTCCCAACCAGGTCCCACACTTAACTGCACAAAAATATAAATAAACGACATAATCCAGGAGCCTCTGACACACAGGGCTCCAAAAAAGAACAAAAACAAAATATAAAAGAAAAATCATGCTTGAGAAGCAGAGACGTATACAAAATATAAATTTATGTAATAGAAAATCACAATTAAGAAGCAGAGACGCACACTAACATGTAGTTGTTGATGCCATATAACGATGACAAATTGTAATTTGAGAAAGACTTAACAAACATTTAAAAACAGGACATACCGCTAAATTCTTTCGCAAATACCGCATCATATCTTCGTAATATTCACTTTCTAAAGTTCAAATTTATTAATTAATATACATCCAATTTTCAAGGATTTTTTCTTTCTGCTGCATGAAAGACTAAGATACTAGTTCAATAAACTCTTACGATATGTTGTCAATTGCCAAAAGAAATCCAAGTATTACCATTCTTCATAACCTCAAAAATCATATCACAATAGTATCTGAAAGGTGATATCCTCATTACACGGCAAACATACTCTGCAAGGTGATAGGGAAATAGCTGCAAGTAACAAACCCAAACATATATAAATTGAAAAATCATGAAGTAAAAACCCAACTTATAATGTATAAATGAAGCAAAAAAGGGATGTCATCACATCATAACAATTTCAAGAGGGATAGAAAAGGTTACATCTGTAACAAGATTTAAAAATCATAATCTTACAGACATATGGTATCATATCAAATATAATAATTACTAGTAACCCACCCAACCTCCCCCCACCCAAACCCAACAAAAAAAAAAAAGAACAAAAACAAAATATAAAAGAAAAATCATGCTTGAGAAGCAGAGACGTATACAAAATATAAATTTATGTAATAGAAAATCACAATTAAGAAGCAGAGACGCACACTAACATGTAGTTGTTGATGCCATATAACGATGACAAATTGTAATTTGAGAAAGACTTAACAAACATTTAAAAACAGGACATACCGCTAAATTCTTTCGCAAATACCGCATCATATCTTCGTAATATTCACTTTCTTTACATATCTTGCGAGCAAAGCAAGCGTTCCATTGGAGTCTTTTCTTTATGCAATGTTCGACTATCCTGCAGCATGGAATAAGCATAGGGCAGATGTGAGACATATCACGCTGAAGAAACAAATTTTTAAGTCGTATACATCTATAGATGTATTTAACTAATTAAGTTACTTAACACTTCATCAAACCTCAAGGGAAATATAAACTAATTCCATCCGGTCATTCTCTATATCCACATCCGGGATATGTCACTATAAGCTTTCTCAAATACCTCTTTTGCTGATCCCCAAAGAAACCCCATAAATCAATGTTTCCAAAACGACACTGGACAGCATGAAAAAACTAACAAACCGAGTTCGCTCCTTGAATGATTGGCTTCACAAAGATTGTTTGAAGTTCAAAATCTACTCCAATTGCTCAACTTAGAATAACTCGCCAAGATATGAAAAATGAATCATGAATCGAGAGACGATCAAAACACAAACAAATTAGTTAACCAGAAAAGGAAGAGAAACAAAAGCAAAAGCTGATCCAAACCTTCTGTGCCATTCTTCTTTAGAGGACAAGGTGGCTTGAAGCCGTTTGGGTAAGCTCTCCCACGGGCATTCTTCATTGATCGCTTTCAATATCAACTGTTCCTCCACCGTCGCCGGAACTCGCTGCATCCTTCACTAAATCACCGAATCCGTTAACCTAGATGTAGATCAAGAAATCAACATAAATATTACCGCGAAAAGAGAAACAATTCGAATCGGAAAATTCATACAAAACCTAAAACGAAATCAATCAAAAAGGAAATGTCGAACTGGATTTTCACTTCTAAAGAATCGAGTTGATGAGCAACAGAAGAATTATCATCGAACAGAATCGGACGTTGAATTTTGAGTTTTACAAGGGCTAGGGCTCCAATTTCCGATCTGTGGAGTAGAGAATGTGAGTTCTCGTCGCATCTATCGCGTCTTCAAACTCTTCGTAAGTTCGTATGAAGCGTTTAACGTTTGGTAATAAGGGAGGCCTGACCAGTGACCTTTTCTCATTATTGCACCCCGTCGCTTCGTTGGATTTGAATTAATTACGAGAAATAAAAAATTACATGGAAAATATTGCATTAATATTAATGTCGTGTCTTATATATTGTCCTGATGATGTCGTTTTCTCGTTGAAACATAACATTAACATGTCGTTTTGTTTTTTGATGGTTTATCGTTGATTCGTTTCTCATGTTTTTTTCGTTTACCGGATAGCTCGTTTTTTTCGTTTTATTGTACTGTTTCGCCATAACATGTCGTTTCTGGTGTTTTTCCATTTTGCTGGTTAATGTCGTTTTCCGTATTATTATATTTATTTATTGCCCTTCAATTTAATGTTGTTGCTTATCATTTTTTGTCCTTTTTTTTCCCAAGTGTCGTTTCTCGTGTACTTGTCACGTAACAATTAATTTTTCGCCTTCTCAACTTTTTGTTGGGTTTCGTTTTGCAATGTTATTTTTCTTATTTACGCTTTTTCTGATTAATGTAGTTTGTATATGTTGTTGTTGTTCGTTTTTTGTCTTGTTCTTTGTGTTCTCCCTCTACTTTATTGTCGTTTTCGTTCTCAGTTGTGGGGTTTTGTCGTAGTTCGTTGTTATGATGTTGTGGCTTCCATAACAAAACGTCAATGAATTTGAAATTTGGTTTCCATAAGGCTATTAAGGTGTCAATTTTTGAACAATTTTAATCATGTGTGGATTATATAACAATAAAAAATACTATAGTAAATTTACATATTAGATTTCAAATTTTAAAAATAAAAAGTTGTAAATTCTTCCTCGTTTTTATCACCTCCTCCTTTATTTAGAAACTCAACATCAATATTATCCTCCCTTCTATATTATATTTTATGATCGCTGTCAGATTGTTCTTTCGTAATTTCTGATAAATTTAGAAATTAATGTTATGCCATTTTGAGTTGATATTAAGAACTTAATATAAGTTTGAATCATTGTTCAAATCTTTTTATTATAGTATTTTTTTCTCACAATTTTTATAAATTTAAACCATGATTCAATTTTTTTTTGCTACAGTGTTATTTCTAACAAAAATAGAATTTTGACTCAAACATTTTTGATAAATCGAAATCTTTTTATTATAGTATTTTTTTTCTCGCAATTTTTATAAATTTAAACCATGATTCAATTTTTTTTTGCTACAATGTTATTTCTAACAAAAATAGAATTTTGACTCAAACATTTTTGATAAATCTACAAACTAAACAATACCTAAGTGGTAAAAAAGGAAAAAAAATTCAAACAGTAGTGTGACATCTTTCTTGTCGTGGTTCTACTAACACACTTCTTTTTACTCTCCACACATCTTTTTAAACATACACTCCATATAATTTAAAATGGTTGAATTTACTTTTTACACACCCCTAAAATTACCTCAAACTATTTTTATAAGATTATTAATTCTTGATCATTTCTCTCTTCACACCTATTATTTTATTTTTATTTTTTATTTTAAAATTATCATTTCTATTTTCTCTATTTTTTTAGTTAAAGCTTTAGACATAACGTTTTTTTTGTACAGAAAGAAAAATTATTAAAATATATTTTTAGAAAACATAAAGGCGGTTCTATTCATACACCTATTTTTACTCTCCATGCCCGTCTTACCTTAAATTTTCTTATGATAAAAATACCTTAATTTAAAAATAAACTAATTATATAATTTTTATTTCTCTTCACACACTTCACATGTTATATTCTAAATTATAAACTATTGCAATTTTAAAATTTATAAAAAAATCTTTAATTTTCACCTTTTAATGACTTTTCTAAAAAGTTGCATTAATATAATGTTAAATTTTGTTTTCTATTAGTTGTACGAAGATTTTTAATTTGTTTTTTTTATTTCATGTTTGTATTTTTTTTACTTTTTTTTAAAGACTAATCATTTTGTTTTGTTTTTATTTCATTTTTTATAAAGCTGGATTGATTTGTTTTTTTCCAATTCATCTCCTATTTATTTTTATATTTTAAAAAGGCTTCACACCCAAAACTTCAACAAAAAGAACAACAAAAGATATGAAAGGATATTGAAATAATACTAGTTAAATAACAAACTAAAATAAAATAGTGGATGAAAAGAAAATTAAAGTGGACAAAAATTAATTACTTTATAAAAATAGTTAAGGGTAATCTTAAAATGATAGAGGTGTGTAAAAAGTAATTTTAGTTTTTTAAAAATTATTTAGGGTATGTATTTAGAAGGAGTGTGGAGCGTAAAAAAAGAGGTGTGAATAGAACCACCCAAATATAAAATAGAAAGCAATATAATTCAAGAAATAAAAAATACGACAACAAAGTTATTATATTATTGAGGTATGATTAAAAATATAAAATGGAAAAAGAATGAAAAACAAATAAATGAGTATAATAAGCACAAAAAGGAACAAAATGAAGAAAAAAAATCAATTATACTTGATAAGAAACGAAAAAGAAAATAAAACAAAATAATTTATCCTTTTAAAAATAAAATAATTAGAAAAATAAAAAACATTAACACAAAATGAAAGAAAGAAAAGACAAAAGAACAATCACCATAGAATAAATAGCAAAGAAAATTTAACATACTTCTATGTAATTGTTTGGAATAGTTATTGAATGGAAACAATTAATGGTCCTGTTTGTTTCTATTTTTGTTTTCATTTTTTACGTTTTTCGAGGTTAAAAATTGAAAACGCGGGTGAAAAACGCGTTTGGTGCAAAATTTTTGAAAAAACAAAATAAAAATGTTTTTGTCGTTTTCTGAAGAATCTGAAAACGCAAAAAAGTCGTTTTCATTTTCTCCTCCGTTTTCGTTTTCTTTCCCATTTTCTACCATGTCCTCTTCCTCTTCCCATTCTTCTAAAAGTTCTCAGAACCTTCCCCAATCTCTCATCGCCTCTCACTCCGCCTCTTTTGCCGGCCTCCGCCTCTTTCGCCGGCCTCCGCCTCTTTCCCCGTCGTTTTCCATTTTCTGCCGCGTCCTTCATTTTCCTCTTCCCATTCTTCTTCTGTTTCCTCGACCCTCTCTCTTCTCCGATCTGAGACGACCCCCATCTTCTCCGTTCTAAGGTTGTCGCATTTTTACAAAGACATCGCTAATCAGCCCATAAACACATAACCCATAAAAAATTTATCAAAAGCAAGAAAAATCCCTTCTAATACAAGAAGAACACCTTACCTTGACTGCTGTACAAGTTGACCTCTTAAATTTGGGTTTAAACTTAGAATTTGTCAAGAAAAATCATGGTTTTCTAGGAGGTTTCTCTTAGGTCCGAATTTTCTAGCTCAAACCCTTACTCTTATGTCTTCTACTTTGGAGAGAGGAGAAGAAGTTTGAGTAGAGATTTTTTTTTTCTGGTCATAAGCTGCTGAGGAGTAACAAAATTGGTGGTGTTAAACGGTGGTTGGTGGCTGAGTCATTAGTTAATATGTAGGTGGTTTGGCATTTTTCTAGCTCGATGACAAGTGTTGCAACTAAATTCTAACTTTGACAATTTTAAAAAATTGAAATAAAAAATTAAACCACCAAATGCAATTTTAGTTTTTCTTCAAATTAAAATCAATCTCTAAATAAAATTACCAAACGCATTTTCAGAAATAATTTCAAAATGAAAATGAAAACGTTTTCATTTCTATTTTTATATAGAAAATAAAATCATTTTGGAATCAATTCCAAATGCAACCAATATTTTTGTAATTTGAGAATATGACATGTGGAGTGTGTCAAGGAAAAAATACCATTATTTTTATAATAAAATGTAATTATGTAATTAAGTCTATTATAATCGTCTCTAATAAAAAATTATAATTAAATGAAAGATGTGAAGAACAAAATAAAAAGTGTGTGAATAGAACTGCCATCTCATTTTTTAATGTTCGTGGGACTCCCATAATTTGACTACAAAGGCTAATCGGTGTTTTGGAAAACTTTGTAAAGAAAGTCAACAGATACAGCTAAAGAAATAGACTTTTACCTTTTCTTTTGAGGACTTTGTTTATGGTACACTCCTTTAAAAGGAAATCTATTCTGGATTTTATTTTTCTTTTCTTTTGTCTTTTAGGCTCGGTTCACGCATCTTATTTAGCATAACTAAGATTGAAGAAGATACATGCTAAGTTACTATAATCTCATTTATTTTGAGAATTTGAGTTTTTAATTTGAATTGAGATGTGAAATTTTATGATAATTTTTTACTGTAACAGAAAAAATTAGATGTGACATTTTTTGAGAGTTTTTTACTGTAAAAATTTAGAATTAAAAATTTCAATCGATAAAATAAACGAGACCTACATTAGAATGAGATAAAAAAAAAGGTGATGTTTGGTAGATGGATTCGTTCCCTGATTCGAATCATGATTCGTGGTTCGCTACAGTATTTTCTCTCATAAAAAATACACGTAAATAAAAAATAATTCTAATAACATGATTCTAATTCATGAACTAAATGGACTCAGTGATTCCATTGAGCAAATAAAAATAGATTTTGGAATCAATTCCAAATGCAACTAATATTTTTGTAATTTGAGAATATGACATGTGGAGTGTGTCAAGGAAAAAATACCATTATTTTTATAATAAAATGTAATTATGTAATTAAGTCTATTATAATCGTCTCTAATAAAAAATTATAATTAAATGAAAGATGTGAAGAACAAAATAAAAAGTGTGTGAATAGAACTGCCATCTCATTTTTTAATGTTCGTGGGACTCCCATAATTTGACTACAAAGGCTAATCGGTGTTTTGGAAAACTTTGTAAAGAAAGTCAACAGATACAGCTAAAGAAATAGACTTTTACCTTTTCTTTTGAGGACTTTGTTTATGGTACACTCCTTTAAAAGGAAATCTATTCTGGATTTTATTTTTCTTTTCTTTTGTCTTTTAGGCTCGGTTCACGCATCTTATTTAGCATAACTAAGATTGAAGAAGATACATGCTAAGTTACTATAATCTCATTTATTTTGAGAATTTGAGTTTTTAATTTGAATTGAGATGTGAAATTTTATGATAATTTTTTACTGTAACAGAAAAAATTAGATGTGACATTTTTTGAGAGTTTTTTACTGTAAAAATTTAAAATTAAAAATTCCAATCGATAAAATAAACGAGACCTACATTAGAATGAGATAAAAAAAAGGTGATGTTTGGTAGATGGATTCGTTCCCTGATTCGAATTATGATTCGTGGTTCGCTACAGTATTTTCTCTCATAAAAAATACACGTAAATAAAAAATAATTCTAATAACATGATTCTAATTCATGAACTAAATGGACTCAGTGATTCCATTGAGCAAATAAAAATAGGGATTCGCCGTTTTGTATAGAATTCGGATCTTAGTTCCATTACGTTGGTTTTAACAACTAAAAAAAAAAAAAAGTAAATGTTAGGACAATTACAAACCGGTGTCGAAGTCAATGTTTGACTTTTGACCCAATTTAGAACCCCATCAGGCACCACCGACCCCATAGGTCCTTCCGCTACACGCAATGAGATGAAAATATCAGTATTTAAATTTTATAAAAATATTAATGTCGTTAAAAAATAACGTAAAAAAATAAAAATTCATATTAAAACACTCTATTTTTAAATGTGATTTTATGAAATTTTAAAATAGATAATAATATATTAATTAGATGAAACTCAATCAAAATACTAATTATTTGATAAATATGCAAGGTAAAGTGTTATCATAATACTATAAATATTAAGTACACGTCCACAAATAAAGTAAATAGCTGAAAGTCAACATAATATATATACCATACATATATGGTTTCATACCTTATGATAAATTATCAATACTAAAAAGGGCTTTTAGGAGGTTTGAAAGTATTTTAAACACATTTTTGGTTTATACAATACTCATACTAAGATATGGAATTTGAATAATTCCTTATATAATTTTAGAAATGCCATATTTTAATTTTTTTTCTGAAAAATAAAATAATATATGAATATAAAGTTACATATATTTTTGTGGAAATTGTACCAATATTTCCGTCAAATTTTCGCAAAGTTTTCACGATATTCAGTCATTTAATACTATGTTTTACTCGAAAATGGGAAATTCCATGAAAATATCGATATTTATCCGTAGAAATTTTAAGATATTCTACGGAAAAGGTACTACACCCCTATTTCCATATCAGTACTTCTAAATATATAGAAATTATCGCAAAAATATTAGTAAAAATATCGATATTTTCATCATTGACTGCACAAAGGACATCTTTAAAAAAATAATAAATACACTGCGCGGAAAAATTTCATAATTTCAATTGAAATACAGTAAAGTTTTTAAAATATTATAAATATAATAAAAATAACATAATAATTATCATATATATATCTATTTTGTATTATATAATATAATCATTATTTTAATGATATAAAATTTTGTTATTTTTATAATATTTTAAAATTTTTGTTAAATTTAATGTGTAAATCACAAGCCCAAATTATGCGGGAGGGAAATAATTTTTTTTGTTTTGTGCGGAAAAAAAAAATTAAAGCACTGTTTAGTTTGTAGATTTAAATTTTTAATTTAAATTAAGATGTGATTTTATGTGATAATTTTTAACTATAATAAAAAAATTAAATATAATTTTTTATAAGAACTTTTAACTGTAGTAAAATTAAAATTGAAAATTCGAATATTAACCGAGAATCTATAATAAAAAAATTAAATATAATTTTTTATAAGAATTTTTAACTGTAGTAAAATTAAAATTGAAAATTCGAATATTAACCGAGAATGACTAAATTCCCTAGTACGCAGAAAAATAAATAAACATAACAGAAAAAAGAAAAGAAGCGCGCAGCCGGCGTGACAATCATACCTAGCTAGCGGCAGACGAAGCCTTGAGTTTCCCAGCCGCCGCTCATTTGGGCTGCTTCCATCCATTGATCATTCCTCGCGGCTCTCTCAACGTATTACTCTTTTCCCTCCCATTTTCCTTCCTCTCTTCTTCCATTGTAAGCTGCTTCTTCTTCTAATCTGTTTTCACCTCTATTCTCTCTCTCCTTTTTTTTTCCGTATGGCATATCTGTGACGAAATGAAACGTCAACTTTTTTTGGTATTAAAAACGGAGAAATCACTGTTGATAATTACAGGATTTATTAAATTCTAGATCCGGGAGAAATGGCTCTTCGGTTTGAGGTAAGACGTCGAACTGGGTTAAATTTTCCATTTCTTTTGTTTTTGTTTTTGTTTTTTTTTTTAGGAAAGTTCTTTTTTCTTTTTCAAGTTCGTATTGTTAGTTGTCTTAGGAAAAAATAAATAAATTAATTAAAGAGAGTATTATTATTACGTGGCGAAAATAATGAAAATTGTTCAAAAAGAAAAAAATCGGCAGTTTGGAGTATTTATCATTCGAGTGATTCGAGTATTACTAATTAACTTGTCCCATCACGTTGTTATTTCAGTAATAAATTGTTAAAAGCGTTCTGTTTTGTGTTTCTGAGTTTAGATTCTGGGGAGGTTCAATCGCGCACGTGCAGCGAATCTAATGCTCCCTCACTACACGTGTCAGACACCTCTTTTCATGCCCGTGGGAACTCAAGGTTAGACTTCCATTATATCGCAAATTTGTTGGAGAATTTAAGAGGTTGTTTGGTTGGTGATTCGTTCTTTGATTTAAATCATGGTTCGTGATTTGTTATAGTATTTTTTCTCATAAAAAGTACACATAAATTGAAAATGATTCTAATCACATAGTTCTAATCCATGAACCAAACGTCTCCTAGTGTAGAGAGTGAAAAAAATGTAAAAAATAAAAAAGAATATGAGGCGTATAAGAATATTTTTTTAAGATTTTATTTGTTATCATTTTTTAAAGTTTGTTAATGAATTTTAATGGTAAATTACCTCTAAGGTACAAAAAATTTTTGAATACAATATCTAACAATAATATTGAGTTCTAAAAAATTCAATTAAGTCTGTAAATTTTTTAGAGAATTAATAAAGACAGATGTGTAATTTCATGAATGAATGCATCATCTTTAAACATTATAACCATTCACATAAAGGTACATTTTCAATATAAATGTATATTTTCATGAATTAATACACATATTACAATAGTTATATCTATTGTTAATTGGTGTTCATATATATATGAAAACATATCACTAATGAATGTAATAGTTCGAAACGTTTTAGATCACATAAACTCATTAAAACATTATTTTCTGTAGAATTTCCACCCGTTGCAGCGCACAAATTGACCCGAGGCCTGAAAACATTTCAGCTGCAGCGAAAATATTTTGGCTGCAGTCGAAATATTGACCGAACCAAACTGCACGGTTTTGTGCAGTTTGTCCGCTGCAGCGTTTTTTGAATTCCCCTTAACACGTGTTTTTCATGTTTTAACACTCAAACAACTTGTGATCTTGATCAAGGCATATTACAATCTCTCTAACAGTCTCCTACTAGATTGTAATATTTCTCCAGAATTAACAATGATAAACACACACATACATGAAGGTATCTTTCGATTTTAACCTCCAATTAGTAACTATACTTCAAAGTATTGACAAGACAACAGTGTGCTTTGCATTAAACTGTCTTTTGAGCAAATACCGAAAATATATCACATATGTGTTATCCCAGACTTAAAATCTGTTCCAATCGTTTAGCATTATTCTGGCCTTATGCTCTATCTTGGATTCATGAACATTTACAAGACTAAACCATAGTCTTGTTAGGAATGACACAATTCCTTATGTTTACTTAGGTGAAGTTTCGAATTATATCTCTAGCTACTATGAGACTCAAACTTCATTAAGAGTATAAATTCGACCTCAACCACGTAGCTATTTTGCACCGACATCTTGGAAGAGACTAATTAAATTTCGGTGCTAACATAGTCACATAACAATGACTTGTTCTTACCCATTTAACTATGGAATAGCGGTACAACTACTACATAGTTGGGTTACTATCATTGGTTACTCTTTCAAAGAAAGGTTTCAGTCCAATTTTACTAGATGTTTCTTTGACTAAGTCTCTTAAAAGTCCTTTCGTCAAAGGATCCGCTAGGTTCTTGTTTGTCCTAACATAAACAATATTGATAACACCATCGGTTATCAATTATTTCACATATTCATGTCTCAAGCTAATATGTCTATATTTCTCATTATAAACCTTGTTATAAGCTCTAAACAAAGTAGCTTCACTATCACAGTATAAAAAAATATATGGCATCGGTTATGGCCATAACTCAATATCAAACAACAGATTTCTCAACCATTTCGCTTCTTTACCCGCAGCGGCAAGTGTTATAAACTCACTTTCCATCGTAGAATGAGTTATGCACGTTTGTTTCTTAGAAGCCCAAGAGACGGCTCCTCCCGCAATTGCGAAAATCCAACCAGATGTGAATTTATTATCACTTGCACTTGTTATTCAACTTGCATCGAGTAACCTTCAAATACCACCGAACCTAAATTAATGGTTCTTTTAAGATAACCAAGTAATCTACTAATTGTATTCTAATGTTCAATACCCGGGTTACTCATGAACCTAGACATTTTGTATACCGCAAATGCTATGTCGAGTCTTGTACAATGCATGACATACATTAAGCTACCAATCGCACTAGTATATTCAAGCTGTGCCACCACTCGGCTTGCATTCTCTAGTAATTTAATGCTAGAATCATATGGGGTATTCACTTCTTTAAACTTTAAATGATTGAATTTAAGAAGCACCTTCTTAATATAATGAGATTGACACAACGAGTAACTCTCTCTATGCTTCCTCACTTTTACACCTAAGATAGTATTTACCTCACAAAGATCTCTCATCTTAAATTGTGAAATTAGATATTTCTTTGTATCATTTACCCCTTGCATGTTTGTGTTATAACCATTGGGTAGAACTCATCCCCAAAAGCTAACTTGTAGGGAGAGGGTGCCTAAGTGGTTATAAACCCACATGCTAAGCCCATACTCTAGCAATGTGGGACTCAACCAGGATCCTAACAAACCACCACGCTTCCGACATCGACATCCACGGTGGCCCACTCTGGGCGGCCCATTCTAGATGGCTCACTATGGCGTTTCTAGGTCGCCCCTCCCCAGGTCGCCCATTCTGCAACGTGGGCCCGAGTAGGAGCATGCTTTGATACCAATTGTTATAACTCTTAGGTAGAACTCATCCCCAAAAGCTAGCTTGTAGGGAGAGGGTGCCCAAGTAGTTATAAACCCACATGCTAAGCCCATACTTTAATAATGTGAGACTCAACCAGGATCCTAATAGTTTGTTCTAAAGATAAGTAAGTCATCAACATATAAACATATAATCACACCAAAATTATTTGTAAATTTAGAGTATATGCATTTATCCGCATTATTATACTTAAAACCATGAGATAAAATGACATTATCAAATTTCTCATGCCATTGTTTTGGTGCTTGCTTTAAACCATAAAGCGACTTGACTAACTTGCAAACCTTCTTCTCATTTCCAAGCAATACAACCCTTTGGGTTGTTTTATATAGATTTTCTCATCAAGATCACCATTTAGAAAGGTCGTCTTAACATCCATTTAATGCACATGCAAATTGTATATTGATGCAAATGCAAATAGAACTCTTATGAATGTCAATCTAGCTACCAAAGCATATGTATCGAAATAGTTTATACTATGGTTTTGTTTAAAGCCCTTGGCTACTAATCTAGCATTGAATGTTTGTATAGACCCATCGGTATTGTACTTTCTTCTAAACACCCATTTGTTGTTTATTAGTTTTGATCCCGAAGGGACATAAACCAAGATCCAAGTGTGATTCGACATAATCGAATCCATTTCATCATTCATGGCCTCTCTCCAAAAGGAAACATCCCTTGAAGACATAGCTTCACTAAATGTCTTTGGATCTTCTTCTATATAAAGCAACAATGGTATTTTATTAAGTACATCATTTCTATCTCATTCAACTAAAAAGGTTAAAGTTTGAGATGAAATAAAATCCGGTGCTAAGTCATTTTCTTTTCTTCCACGTTGATTTCTCCTCGGTTCGAAAGTTGTCATAGACTCTTTCCTTTTATTAGTGAAGGTACCAGGAGTATCAACACGTGGTTGATCAACATTAGATTATAATTCAGTGTAAGAATCAAGGCACTTGTTCTCAATAAATTCAACATCTCTTAATTCTACAATCACATTAGAATCTAGATGTAATAATTTATATGCCTTAGAATTTTCAGCGTATCCTACGAAAACACTTTTAATTTCTCTAGCACCTAACTTTGATGATTTAGGGTCAATCACTCTATAAAAGGCTAGACAACCCCACACCCTTAAATACATCAAGTTTAGTTTCCTTCATTTCCATACTTCATATGGAGATACATGTGTTTTCGTGGATGTAATTCTATTATGTACATGACATGCAGTAAGTAAAGCTTCCCCCCACAAATTATTATGCAATTTAGCATTAAGAATCATAGAGTTAATCATATCGGTAAAAATCTTATTCTTTCTTTCAGCCAATTCATTTTGTTGAGGAGTGAAAAGGGCTAACCTTTGGTGAATAATACCATACTCTTCACAGAAGGCATCAAATTCATTTGAGAAATATTCACCACCTCTATCACTTCGAACCATTTTGATCTTCTTATCGTTTTGGTTCTTAACTCCAGCCTTATAAATTTTAAATTTATCAAAGGCTTCATCTTTTGTTTTAAGTAAGTACACATTAGTGTATCTAGAACAATCATCAATGAAAGTGATAAAGTATATCTTTTCTCCTCTTGTCAAAATTCCATTATACTCACAAATATTAGTATGAATCATATTCAATATTTGAATATTTCGTTCGGCTCTAGGAAAAGATTTCTTAATCATTTTTGCTTGCATGCAAATTTCACACTTATCATTTTTAATCATTATACTCACAAATATTAGTATGAATCATATTCAATATTTGAATATTTCGTTCGGCTCTAGGAAAAGGTTTCTTAATCATTTTTGCTTGCATGCAAATTTCACACTTATCATTTTTAACATCTTTACAATTAATCAAACCATGTTTAGACATATATTTTAAAGATCTAAAATCTAAGTGTGCTAAACGTGCATGCCAAACATCAAAAGAGTCAACAATATAAAGAAAATTCATATAATCTTTATTATTAATGCTAAGTTTGTACATGTCATCACAAGAATATCTCTTTCCCACAAAGACCTTATTCTTAGATACAATACAATTATTGCCCTCAGGTACAATCTTAAGCCCATTCTTACATATTAGACTAACGGATACAAGATTTTTCCTAATATCAGGAATATGTAGACATTGTTCAAAGTAAGTTTCTTTCTGGAAGTAAAGTTGATCTCCACCACACCTCTCCTGGCAACCATCGCTGCATCATTATTCCCCATGAGACCGTTTATCCTTCCTTTTCCACTTTGTATGATGTGAACAATTTCTTGTCATTACAAACATGGATTGTGGCACTGGAATCAAGCCACCATTCGGAAGATTTAGTTGCAGTCATGTTGGTTTCGGTAATCATGCCAATTTGCATCTCCGAGACCATAGCTCATATGTCCTCGGATTTTTCTTCAACAGTATTGGCCTTGTTGGTGTTAACTTTTTCCTTTTTCTTCTTGTATATGCAGTCATTTTGGTGATGGCCTTTCTTTTTACAAAAAAAATAATTTTCAGAAAATTTCTTTTAGCCATTATCGGGCTTTTTGAACTTCTTGTCATTATTGATATCAAGTATCAATACTCATCCACTTTGCTATATGTATTATTATTATTATTATTACTACTACTACTTTTTCATAGTTCACTGTGCTGATGAGGTTTGTTGGGGTTACAGGTAGTATAAAAGGCTTGGCGACTAACCAACTAGAGGAGATTGGTTGCCAAATAATACTTGGAAATACATATCATTTGGCACTTCGCCCAACTTCTGAGCTCATTGATGAAATGGGGGGTCTTCACAAATTTATGAACTGGCCAAGAGCAATGCTCACAGATTCTGGTGGCTTTCAAATGGTCATCTTCTTAGATATGATTTTGATACACACACACACATGTATATATTATATATGTTCATTGTAGCTATTGCTGACTTTTTCCCAGTTTGATTTCTCAACATATGTGCGGTTAAAGTTTCAATTGTTTGATGTTTTCAGGTATCATTATTGCATTTAGCTGACATTACTGAAAAGGGTGTAACATTCCAGGTACTTTTTTGTGCTAGAAAGTTCAAGCGGTTACGTATTTAAATAGATGCTTTATTGCGAATCTTCGTCATTTTGTTATTGCCATATTCTATCACATTCACTCCTGTTTAAAATTTATGTAGAGTTTATTAGGTATGGAAGAAATTGTAGTGTTGTATTGATTCTGCTTGTAGCTAATTGTTTTCTTCTTTGCAGTCCCCAGTTGATGGAAAGCCAATGCTCCTAACGCCCGAGGAATCGATTCAAATCCAGGTAGGAGCGGCCTTTTTTTATTTCCCTTTTGGTTATCCGAGTATGTTGTTTTTATTTTAATGTATTAACATGTTTGTACGTCTTTCTATTGAATTTATTGGACAATGTTGATATTTGCTACTATGGATGTTGAATTGAATTTATAGCTAAATCCAACTGGAAGGAGAAAACATTAAAGAGTGATTATTTTCCATATGCATAATCTGGCTCTGCAATAGAAGTTTGGTCTAAATAGATATGTTTATAACTGCTACCTTGAGACCTAAAACATTTCATGTTCCTTTACGTATGGCCGATGATCTGTGCAGAACAGAATTGGAGCAGATATTATAATGGCTCTTGATGATGTGGTTAAAACCACCATTACTGGTCCAAGAATTGAGGAGGCCATGTATCGCACTCTTCGGTGGATAGACAGGTGTATAGCAGGTAAATAATGTCTTTTGGAAGTAGATTTCATGGTCATGCTAAGGTGTTCCCCTAGTAAATCAGTTGTGTTGTAGTTACATGTCAGATGTTCAATCATAGTTGGATTGTTTCCCTTCTTCCCTGATCCATACTCATTCATGCATTTTCAAGGATTTTTATGTTGGGCTAAATTCTTTTTATGACAAACTTTCAGTGAAAAGCTTTGTGTTGGTATGTGATAATTCTTCTTTGTTTTGAGTCACTTACTTATTGTCGTCTTTTTTAATTGCTTTTTATCATCAGCTCACAAGAGACCAAATGAGCAGAACCTATTTGGTATTGTGCAAGGAGGCTTGGATCCTGTGCTCAGGTGAATTTCAATTATTGCTGTAGTAGTGTAATCATCATGTGATTAGCTGATTGTCCTATGCATTTTTCTACCGATCTTTTGTAATCTTTGTACCACTGCATTTATCAGGGATATATGTGTCAGAGGCTTAGTGGATCGGAATTTACCAGGGTATGTTTATGCTACTTTTGAAAGTGACTAATTCATGTAGTTTACAAGATTTAACTCTATATATCGTAATTCATTATACTCTCACACATCTTAAGCAACCTAAACAAAGTTGTTCTCTGTATGATTGTATGTTCAATGTTGCAACTTCAATCATATTAATCCGTACCATAAGAAACTCAATATTCTTATTTTTTCCTAATATTGAAAGGCTCCCCTGAAATTTTACCTCTATGACAGCTATGCCATTGGCGGTCTCGCAGGAGGCGAAGATAAAGATTCATTCTGGCGTGTTGTAGCTCAGTGTACTGCTGCATTGCCTGAGAATAAACCACGATATGTTATGGTGCTGTTGACATCTGTTTTTTGTCACTTAATCCATCTTTTTATTCTTATGAACTTTAGTCATGACATTTACTTGAACTTAGTTTCAGGGTGTGAACTTATTTTCAGGGTGTTGGTTATCCACTTGATATTGTAGTTTGCAGTGCCTTGGGTGCCGATATGTATGATTGTGTTTATCCAACCCGTACTGCTCGCTTTGGCACAGCTCTTATACCAGAGGTAACAACTTTTTACTGGGAAAGAAAAACTGACCCTTGGCATATATGTTGCACATTAATCTACTTTGGTGCCTGATTTTTTGCTCAGAATGATGAATAACTTAATCATGGCTAGATTTTCTACTCTTGACGATCTCTGATGTACAATGACTTCATGCAGGGAGTACTAAAACTCAAGAACAAAGTGATGGCTGAAGATACTAGGCCCATAGATCCTACATGTGATTGCATGGTATGTATGTGACAGAACTATCTCCAATAGTTGGTATGGTATTCGTTGTTTATCTTCTTTATATGTCTCCCATCGTAGGTCTGCAAAAACTATACTAGAGCCTATATCCATTGCCTTGTTACGGTCGACGCAATGGGATCTCAGCTTGTGTCATATCACAATCTGTATTATATGATGAAGGTACTTGTACAAAATTTCTCAGTTGAAGAATTTCTGATGTTCTTTCTCCTTTAGATGATTCATTATTTTTTAATGGTTACAGCTTAGCAGAGATCTACACTCCTCAATAATTGAAGGAAAATTTCCAGAGTATGTTCCCCTTTTGTTCTCTATGGATGCTGAACATAGCTAATATGCTTTTTCATTTGAGGTCCTCATTTCAACCTCACTATTGCTAAAACTTTTGTTCAATCTTTTGCAGGTTTGTTTGCGATTTTCTCCAGAAAATGGTATTACTTTCTCTAAACCTGACCCTTCTATTCGTCTTCCCATTTCTTCCTTCTGTTCATGTGCATATGTGTTCTTCCTGAGGTGGTTCAAGTATTGTGGTTGGGTTGACTAAGAGTAAGACTACTTTATTTCCGACTTCTGTGGCTATATTTCGGTAAAGCACCCAATTTAAGCTATTCAAATAGTCCTATGATTTTTAAACAAGTATATCTCCATATTTGGTGAACTATTTTCAAAATTCTGTAAATTTTTAGTCATTGAAAACAAAATACTAAATAGTATGGTTTTGGCTGCCCTATCTAGTGAAAGTTCACATGCATGGCACGGAGAGACTATTAATGCCAACTTTAATTTCCAACTTTAGAATTTGTCTCCCTCATAAAAAAAAAAATCAATTTGCCGGTTTCTTTGCCTTCCCCGGGACCATAACCCCTTCTAAAGTGTTCCAATCCATTTGTTCTTTTTTTTTTTTTTTCTTTTTTTGAAAAAAAAAAAAAAAGAACAAATGGATTGGAACACTTTAGAAGGGGTTATGGTCCCGTGGAAGGCATAGAGACCGGCAAATTGTTTTTTTTTTTTTTTCTTTTTTTGAAAAAAAAGATAAAAATAACCATGTGACTTTGGTATTTCCATAAAAGCTGAAACATTCACTAAAAAGCTTTGTAACTTTGAATATTCTTGTGCCCTCTAGTTCCCCAAAGGCGATGTTCCCCAATGGGTCTGCAATGCCATGGAGGTGGCAGGAATTGATATTTCATCATGTTGTGCGCCCTTTGTTTCGTCCTAATGCAATAATAGAAGAAAAAAAGTTACAGTGTCACACCAAAAACAGGAATTGATCAAAATAGGCATACACGAAGTTTACAGGGAGGTTTCTAATTTTGAAGAAATGTAGATCAAAGTTGATACAAAGGCAGCATAAATTTTGTAGTCCTTATGCTGCTTGATTAAGAAATAGATTTTGTCCTCCGATTTTGTTTTTCAATTATTTGATGCAAAAACATTTGCCAAATTCAGATTTTGTAGTGCACTTTTAGTGATAGAAGATTACCTCCCCATTTTGTCCCTCAATATGTGGAATTGTAATTGTTTTCCTTACTTTGGCAACTTGAAACCATCATTGTGATTGATAGTATATGATTTTGTTTTCAATTTGCAAAATCAATATTCAGTTATTCATGTGACTTGTAGTAATGAACTGATTAGAAGTTAGAGCTAGAACTTAGAAGACACAGAAACAAAAGCGGACACTTGATTATTCGAATATTTCCTGTGGAAAGAGATGTCTAATTATCCTATGTAATTGAGCTTGTTGACAAATATATACAAGTTCAAGATAGGAAAAAAGTTTCAAAAACGATCCGCAAGCTGAGGAAATTGTTCCAGTAGCCAAGTCACTCCTCTGATGATCACCTAATAAAATGACAAAGGTAATTAGACAAGTGATGCCGAAGAATATATTAATAATTTAATTTGTATATTTTGTCACTTTTGAATTTAAAATTATGTCTATCCACTAAAATTACTTAAAGATGAACTTACCAAAGCAGTCTTCCCAGGCTTGATTGCAGGTTCAACGCTGTCTCTCGCATATCTGTTTTTCAAGAAGGAATGCAATCTTCCTCAAAATCATTGATTCACTTAATATATCAGACAATATGACATCTACTAATATGTTCATTCGCTCACGAATGCCAACAAAAATAGAGACGGAAACAAAAAACTCGTTGATCCCAAGGATTCCGAGTACCCAATTTGAAAGACTCATGTCTCTGTTTCAGTATTCATTTGCCACTCACCAGTTCTTATATTGAGTGAATATATAATACTACATATAAAATATTAGCCATTATAAATAAATACAAGGAAACCACGATAAACCATGTACTTGGGCGTTACATTATCTGTCGCTTGCCATTGACGACCTCCAATTGATAAAAGCTGCAGCCTTTGCTAAATGGAAAAGGCTTTCCCTTCCATTCTGCAACTCATTCCCGGAATCAGTCTACACCTATAGATACATGTGTGTGTTTGTGTGCGTATATATATATATATAAATATATTTGGAGGTTTCAACATTTTACCTAAATGCCAAGTAACCCCAACTGCTGAAGAATCCTCTGTCGATATCTTGTCAATAACAAACTGGAGGTCTTTGCTCACAACATCCGCGAAGTTCTCAAAGAACTCAAGTATTTCCTTAACATTTTTGCATTAATAATCGGAATTATTTCCAAATAACTAAAAAATAATAATAATAATAATAAAGATGATTGCAAATGATAAAGTAGATACCTTTCGACCAACGAAAGGGCGAGCAAAGACGAGGTCCTCGTAGACACAGTTTTGAGAAATGAGGTTCTCCACGGAGGGAAGATCACGGCCGTTGATTCCCGCGTAAAATTTCCTCACGACATCGGCGGCGGTATCGTTTGTGACCCGGGATGCGACCGTGGCCGTCTGATTTTGGGAGGAGGATAGACTAAGATGTGACCTCTGTGGGCTCCACCTGGAGAATGGTGTCTCTAAGCCAAAATTGTGGAGGTTTGAGAGGGAAGTGGTTCGAGTGGGAAGGGATTTAGTGAGGTAGAGGGAAAGAGGCCGAGTTCATCACCATTGTTAGCATGGTTAGTTTCTGGTTGATGAATGTTCGTACGGCTACCTAATTATGAAAAAAAAAACAGAGAGAAAAGAAAAGAACATCTATAAGGTGGAGTATATTATTTTGTTTTACGGGAACAATTATTTTAACGGTTGAATTAGTCTTTTTAACGGTTAATTTATATATATATATATATATGTATTAAAAATTTATAATACACAATATAAAATTATTTATATTATAAATTTAGCTTTTGAAAAATTAATTTAACGTATACTGTTGAAACAAAATAGTTTATTCCACTACTTTAAAAAAATAAAAACTTATTTTAATATTTTTTCTCTTCTTTCTTTCAAAAAGAAATTATTTTTTCTATAAAAAAATTTGAGAATATTTATGATGGAGCATGTTATTTCGTTCCACCGTTGGGACAAATGTTTTTAACCATTTAATTGGTTTTTTGACAGTAAGATCTTTGTTGATCTGTGTTAAAAATATACAATGTGACACATAAAACTGCTCTTACTGTATATCTAATAATTAAAAAATTAATCTAATAATAAAAGTACAATTGCCACTAATGAAATAAAATATCATACTCGACCGCAAAGACTCCTAAAAAATTATTTATTTTTTAAGGCTCTTTTTGTTTTGAAAAGGTTTTTAAGGTTAATTTTCACAATACTTATAAAAAATTAGTTTATATTAGCACTAATTTTGATTTTTTATATACCAATATCACGTAAGTTGATGTCGATTGTCGAATGTTCGAACGGCTAGTTAGTTAAAAAAATTGGAAGTTTATTTCAAAATTGGAAGTTGATTCTTTTTCTTTTTCTCAAAAATAAAATATTTCTTTTTAAGGCTAATTTTTACATCATTAATAAAAATTGTCTAAATTAAGACTAATTTTGTTTTTTGTTTCTTGGTATGCCAATATCACGTAAGTAATTATCAGTTTATCACAAATAGTAATAAAACAAACTATTACTAGTATAATTGTTAGTAATATTATAATTTTTTTAATTATTTGTTAGTAATATTATAATTATTAAATGAATATGTGATAATTACAAAAAAAAGTTAAAACAGTACTTTCGTAAAATAGTTTCTAATCTAGTGCTACAAAAAGTCTCACCCTTTTATATCGTTCAAAAATAAATCTTGTTTTATGATTCAAAAATTAAAGAATGTAATGAAGTAGAGATAAAATAGAATAAATACACAAAATGCACTTCATGGCTCTTGTGGATAGTAGAAATACACAAAGGCCCGTTCATTTTACCGATTCGAGTTTAAAATTTGAGTTATGTTACAGTAAAAAATTCTCAGAAACAGTCACATCTAACTTTTTTACTACAGTAAAAAGCTCTCACATAAATTCACATCTTAACTCAAATTTAAAACTCAAATAAATAAATTAAACGGGCCTAAAATATCGTTCCGAGGGATATGAGTGCACATATATCACATGTTTTCCACACATTGCTGGGGTCTCTTTTTTTCTTCTTCTTACTCTCTCTCTCTCTCTCTCTCTCTCTCTCTCTTATCCACACAATAATCATCTTGTATTATTTGTTGTTATTTCAGCCAAGGAATTCAAACACGCTTCTAATGAATGGAGGAACATTCTCACTAAAAAAAAAAATTAAATAAATAAAAAAGAGAGAGAAACATGTGTACTTTTGTCTTTGTCTTTGTTTTTGGTTTTTGGTTTTTTTTTCTTTTTTTTGTTAGAAAAGCATGGAGGACATGTATACTTGTAACCTGTGATAATTCGATTATTATTATTATTATTATTATTTTTAAAAAGTGACGATTCAATTCCGAAGATGGGCTAGAACCTTTTTAAGAGGGCACTATTGTATTTCAACCCATTTTTGTCGTTTAGAGAAGAACCTCCATGTGTGAAGCAGTTCAAAGAAAGGGCCTTTTTCAGCCTAAAACTGACTATGGCCAAACAGCAGCCATGTAATCTACTATCTCCTGCCCAAAGCCAAACTCTCTTCCAGATATACACAAATACAAACACACACCCATTTGCCATTACTCCCCCATTTCTCTCTCTACAACTCCCTTTCTCTCTCTCTCTAAAATGGCCCAGCTGGACCAAATTTTTTACATAGAAGAGAGGAGAAAAACAAAAGGAAAAGATGGCAAGTAATAGATATGTCTTCCAACCACAGCTCTCTCTTCTTCCCAAACAACAAAATTCATTATTATTCCACTTCCCAAATTTGCCCTTCTGTGAATCCTACCCTCATTGCTTCCCATTCAATTCAATTCCTTTTTATCTCCGACCCAGCTCATGGGCCTTTTCGGGTTTCATCACCAGACCCACACACCCCAGAGGAATACACATTTCATTTACATACAGTACAGTACAAACCCCATCTTTCTTTTCTCTCTTTCATCCTCTTAATTGCCTTTTTATCTCTATCATTTTTTCCTCTTTCCGGCTCCATAAAATCTCCAACCTTATCTTCTTATTTAAATTTAAATATGAAGAAAGAGGGTCTAATTCGGTTTTTATAGATATTCTTCTAAGTAAAAGATTAATTCTTTGAAAAAGAAAAAGAAAAAGAATATTGCGTTTGGTTTCTTGTTTCCCAAGGACCGACTTTTGGAGGTGATGAGAAGGATTTCACAGGATTTTTATCCATATTGTTATGTATTTGTTTAATTAAATTAGTTCTTTGTTCGGAGACATAATTCTGAAGACAAAGATGAAAAGGGTATCGTTTAATTCTCTCCAATCTTCCCCTGAGGAAGCTAGAATTAGGCAAAGGCATCAAAGACTTTTGCAAGATTACCTGGAATTGCAAAAGGTAAGGGCTTTTATTTTTTTAATGTTTAATTTTCTGGATTTTTATGTTGGGGTTTGTTTCATGTATTATGTGAATTTTCTGCCACCACTTTTAATTGTGTAATTTTAAGGGGGGGAAAAAAATCCAAGGACGATTGTAACATTCTTCTGATTATGATTGTGTTTTTACTCTGAAGTCAGTTTTGTTAGATAATTGGACAATTACTCGTACAAGACTGAAGTCAAGTTCAGATTTTTATCATATGCTTAAATTATTCTCAATTAGAACCCTTCACTGAAGCGACGGATTTTTTTTTTGGTTTTATTCTTTTTCTTTTTCTTATTGTTTTTGGGACATTTAAGAATTGTTTCTTATTGAGTTAATTCAGGAATTTGTTTCGAAAAAGAAGAAATTACAGACTGCTAAGGATAAAAGAGAAACCCTTTTGGCCGAAGTCCGGTATGAGTTTTGTTTTCTTGATTTATTGAGGACTATTGATATTGCTTGTGGCAGTTGTATTGTGAGAAAAGAGGAGTTATTCCTTAATAGCTTGTGTTTCTGTATTGAACTTCAGGTTTTTGAGGCGGAGGCACGGGTATCTACAAAAAATGCAATATTTCAAAACTGAAACAGAAAATTTTCAATATCAAAATTCCAATGTTCAGCCTGAGATATCTGCCGAGGAGAGGAATTATAGTAATTTAAATGAAGCTGTTAAAAGTAGCCACACCAGAGTTTCCGAGATAAAATCGATCTTGGTAACGACTATGAATTAGAATGACTTTTCAAAAGTTTGTTTTGTATGAGTTTCATGTATGCTGAATGGTTGTGACTTGTGATTCTCGTTCATATAGTGATTCCCGTTCATATATTGCAGGGTAGCATGGAGGAAAAGGAAACCAATAAAGAAGCCATAAGATTACAGAAGAAGCCTAAGAATTGCTTGATCAATGGCAAAAGAGTTGGAAAGAAGAAGATTTCGGTACAAGATCAGGTTGTTTTGGAGGTCTAAATAAGTTACTTGTGGTTGCAGTGTGACCAATTAAAAAAAAAAAGAAAAAGAAAAATCCTAATTGCCTTCTTTAGTTTTCATATAGGCTGATATATTGTTATTTTTCTTCAATTGCAAAGTGTAGAGAAAATTGCAGTACACATGACATTGTAAGGTCTTTCAATTTAAAATAAATAAATGAAATACCTCCCCAATATTTTCCTGCTTTATTTCATGCCAAGACTTGAATGTGCCTGAAATTTGTTTTCCTTTTTCATTTTTGGTTAGTGAGAATGTTTTGTGAGTCACAATACTGTCACTGTCTATTTATAGAGATACAGGAAGGCAACAACACCAACTATGAAATCTGAATATATTTGAAGAATTATTGCAACTTGTATTATTCATTGAATTAGTATGATAATATACGGGAAACAACAACGATAGAGATAAGATTAGTTTAGTATTCACAGTATGATCCAGGGAACATAATAACAAGGTATACAAGACCAGAATATACATACACTACAGTTCCCATGGACAACAATTTGGAAACACTTCGAATACACCTTAATTAATACTTACAAAAAAGCAAATTTGGGAGAATTGGTAACACTATATGCGACTCCCCAACAAACCTTCCGAACAACCTTGTACACATCCGGGGCACAAATGAACAAAATCATCAGTGCAATACTGAATCTTGTACAACATGAAAGTACCGAAAACTGTCAACTGGGCCTGAAAAAGGTGAAGTTCAGAGAACGGTCAACATTACAGTTTTTCATAGAAGAGAATCTACTACAACAATACCAATATGAGGTGAAAGAAGAGGAATTATACCTTAAAGCACAGTTAAAGAACAAGTATGTATGTTGCTTCATGAGAAATTCCAATATGAGTCAAGTTTCATTAGGAAGCTGGGCAAATGTACTGACGTTGGGGCTGCAGCCACCAATCATCATCTTCTTGTAGACTGCATAGGCATGGTCCGGATTCCCTGACGCGCTGTACGCTCGAATCAGCGCGTTGTAGGTGAAAACATCAGGCTCAAGTCCCCTCAGCTGTAGTTCTTCATACATACTACCTGCTTGCTCCACCATTCCAGCGATCCCGAGATTGAGTATCAATGAGTTGTACGTGTAAAGATCTGGAGTAATTCTTCTGCTCCGCATTTCGTCGTAAAGAGATAAAGCTTCTTCTACCCTCCTTGATCTTCCTAGCGCATTAATCATCAAGTTATAAGAAACTGAATCAGGGTTAAGACCACTCAGCTTTAGTTCTTCAAAGTAGTGCAGAGCATCGTCAATCCTCCCAGCTAGGCAAAGGCAGTCCACGAGAATTGTGTAAGACTTCAAGTCTGGCCTTATTCCTTCTTTAACCATTCTTTTGAACAACATACAAGCAGTTTCCACATCTCCTGCTTTGCCAAATCCATTTATAAGAATATTGAAGATTGCACAGTTAGGCTTGCACCCATAGTCCCCCATCTCCTCGAAGAACCGCATCGCCTCTTCTTGTCTTCTTGATTTCAAAAGTCCATCAATGAGAGGGCCATATGTACAAGGAGAGGGAGAGAAATCACCACTCACAAGATCATAGTAGAAGTCAATAGCCTTATCTACGTTATCAGATTTCACAAGACTTGAAATGACTATATTGTAAGTTATCGTGTTGGGCTTGCATCCTCTACTAATCATCTCTTCATATAATCCAAAGAGTTCGGTGATTTCCCCAAACTTACAATGAGCAGCAAGTAACAAATTGTATGTGAAATCATCAGGGGCACAACCAACTCTCTTCATTTCATTGAAAAGATCCCAAGCCTTTTCATTGGCATGAACTCTAAGAAGCCCTTCAATTAAGCAGTTGTAAGTTTCCAGTGTAGGCTTTATTCCAAAGGTCCTGGTAAATTTTGCAAACAAATGATTTGCATCAACAGTTTTCTTTCCCTTACACAACGCCCTTATTAGAGGTAGCAATATTGAGTCATCCAGGCAAATTTTATCGGATACCAGTTTTTCAGCAAATGAAATTGCTCTATCTGCCTCGGCTTTAACCAGAATTCCTCCCATCAAATCTTCCCAAAAGGGTCCATTTATGTGAACCCCAGCCTGATACGCAAAGCTCTTTACAATCCTGAATGCGTCCTCAATCCGCCCATCCTTCACTACACCTGGAATGAGAGTGAACAAGGTTACGCGATCAGGAAATAGAGATTTCTTCATCTGGTGGAAAAACCAGAATGCATAGTTAACTCTGTTTTCCCTGATTAAGCCATAGATGATAGTGTTGTAGGTGAAAACATCAGGACTGCAATTCATTGTTGACATTTTACAAAGCAATTCCAGGGCCAACCCAACCTCGTCATTCTTGCAGAGGCAATCTAGGATTGTATTGAAGGTTACCGTGTTTGGAGGACAACCGTAATCTTCCATACTCTCAAATACTTCAATCGCTTTTCGGACTTGACCCTCTTTCCTTAAGCTAGCTAGCAATGTGTTGAAGGTTACAACTGTTGGTGTGAGCTTCATGCCCTTCATTCCATAAAACATTTGCCATGCTTCATCTACTCGTTCAGCCTTGTAAAGCATGTCAATCAAAGTATTCACTATTATCGCATCAGGTTCACACCCTTGTTTCACCATCTCAGAGAGTAACTTGATCGCTTCATCTACTCGCCCAACCTTACTATAGCATCGCATCATCAAGTTATAAGTTACCGAATCAGGAGCAAGCCCATTACTTTTGATCCCATCAAAAATTTCTTTTGCTTCCTGAAGTCTGCCCATTTCAGTAAGAGAATATAAAGAAGCATTGCAAGCTACAATGTTAGGAACAATGCCTCTTCTTTTCATCTTCTCAAAGGTCTCAATAGCCTTAGAAGAATCACCCGACTTTCCATAGTAGTCAATGAAAAGGATATATGTATAAGCAGTAGGCATGACACCCAAAGCTTCCATATTACGGAAAAGTTTTAGGGCCTCATCCAATCTACTTGCCCTTAGCAGTCCACAAATCAACGTGTTGTAGGAATGAAGATTCGGCGAAACCCCTTTCTCCTTCATGATATTCAAAGTATCAAATGCTTTCTCAAAATTCCCTGCTTTACACAAAGCATCAATAAGAATGGTGAAGGTAACCACATCAGGAGCATAACCATCAGCTTCCATCTCAGCCCAAATTTCTTTCACACCCTCCAAGTCTCCACAATCACTTAACTTGTCCAACAAAGTAATGTAAGTTACTTGATCGGGTTTGTGGCTACTAGCTTTCATCTTTACAAACAATGCCCTCGCATTATCAAGTTTGCCAGCATTACAAAGAGCATCAATGAGCACCGTATAGGTAATAACATCTGGCCCACATCCCTCATCATCCATTCTCTTCAATATACCATAAGCCTCATCGATTTTCCCAGCCCTCCCAAGCACTCTAATGCATATAGTAAACGTATAGATATTCGGCCTCAACCCCAAGTCTTCCATCTCCTGCAACAACCCCATTACAGTCTCAGTATCCCTTCTCTTTCCAAAAGCCACCATAAGTGCGGAGTAAGTCTTAAGGCTAGGCTTGAATCCTTCTGAGACCATTCTCTTATAAACCACCAAAGCCTCTCTAAAAGACCCTGTCTGAAGAATCAAGTATATCAATCCATTATAAGAGTACGCATTCAGCACGAACCCGGCCCTACTCATCTTTTCAAGCGCAATCGGCGCTTGTCTAATCCCAACCCTGATGTAAAGACCTTTGAAAATGGTAAGATAAGTGTTCAAATTCCTGTTAATGAGTTGCTTTTGCATGAAATCAAACACAACAGCCATATCCTCCACCCTCCCATTAGTCCTCAAGAGCTCGAGCATGTAATTGCACGTGTCGGTTGTGTGAACAACCTTCGGCAAGCGAGCAACCGACATGAAATACGAAAAAGCACAATTCGGGTCCAGAATGGACTTAAGAACTCTGGCAACTTCCTCAGCAGACCTCACTAAAACTGTTCTCTCTCCTTCATCCGGGATTTTCATCACAAACCCAGATAAACCGACTCGTTTTCTCCTCAATTTCTTCTGTTTCACCAAGTACCCACATGCCCAAACCTTTACATTTCCGAAGATTCTTCCTTTACTATTACTAAAATTCAAAGCAGAAACTCTAGACTCCGTAAAAGCACAAGTGTAACTAACACTACTACAGTACATACTTGAAGAGCAGACTATTAACACCATTTACAATGAACTTTACTTTTTACGTACCCAAAATTCAGCATAAAAGAGACACTTTGAGACGTCAATGAAAAATCTCCATGCGCGTCTTTGGTGTTCGTAAAGATGCTCGTGTGAGAGCAAAATACTGTAAAATAGAGCAAAAGGTAAAGAACATACCGGAGAGGGATAGAGAGAGACGAAAACAGAAGACTAGAGAGGGATTTGGCTATGGCCACCACTTGCAGTGAGATATTTGAATTACGGGAGACAGGAGATTGGATGGGCGCTTTTGGATATTTTTCTCTGTGTCTGGTTCCGTTTGGATATCGTCTTTTTCTTTTTTTCTTCTCTCTTTTTTTCCACCAAATAACTTTTTACAATAAACTTAGTTTATAAATTTAAAATTATGATTTAAAATTAATTTTAATTAATTTATATTATTTTTTAAAAAATATTATAATAAATTATAAATTATGACACAAATTATTATTCTAAATGCACCTTAAATAATTACAAATTCATATTTCGATGATTGAAAAAAAAGTTTTTACCTAATTGGCTATTTATTAATTCCTATATCCACACATTGACTAGATTCAAATCACTTATCTAATTTTTTATGTATTAATTGGTGTTTAATCATAACCATTCACATTATAACTATCATTTAATAGATTTAAATATCAAATTATTAAAAAATTAGTTAAAAAATATTTTAAAATTTAAATAACGTGATATAATTTAATTGGTTACAATTAAGACACCACAATTAAACCTGAGATTTGAAATCTCTTGACCGGGCCAAACCAAAGTTAAAATTTAAACAAAGGACGATATGTTGTTTCTACTTTTTTTTATTCAATGTCGTTACCACCAGACGACATAAAGTTTTATCATCCAACAAATTAACTTTTAAACTTAAATAAATAAATAAAACAGAAGAAATTAGTAGTAAAATGAGAGATAAAGATTTTTAGTTATTTTTTATTTTTTTGTTTTTATTTTCTTCTCTCTTGAGCAGAGAGAAAGAGACAAAGACATTAATGAGTTTTTTATACTAAAAATAATCTCTTGATAAAATTACCAAATGCATTTTCAAAAATAATATTGAAAACGTTTTCATTTTTATTTGTATATAAAAAATAAAACATTTTAGAACGAGTTCCAAACGCGCTTTTGAAACTGGTGGCTAAGACAATAGAGTTTGTAAAGAATCACCGATTGTCGTACGCCAAAAGAGCAAATTCCAGCATACAAAAGAAACTATCGAAGACAACAAAGGGCATGCTCTTTTGTCCAAAAAACTCAAAAAAAGACAACTCGAGTTTCAACTTTATTCAAGTTCACGTTCTTTTAAGTTTCAACTTTATTCAAGTTATAACTTAAATTCAAGTTATAACTTAAATTCAACTCAAAAACTACACTCAAGTTACATTCCAAAAAAATAACCCTAAATTTATAAACAATCAAATATCGTCATACATCAAAAGAGCAAATTCTAGCACGCGAAGGATACTATCGTTCTCCTAATATAAATGACAACGATTCTAACACAAATGACATGTCATCTTTTGATACAAACAACAACAAAACTTTATGCACAAAACTGAATGTCATTTTCTGAGTAAACGACAACAAACTCAATAGACGACAAGTGACATATTGCTTACAATAAGCAACTTGTGACCACATATGAAATGTGGTTTTAACTTTAGTGACGGAAACATAAATACGACAAGTGACATATTACTTAACCAATTAAACGACACGTAGACACTTAAGCAGGCCATGCCAAGCCAAAAGGGAAGGGACGGGTTTCTGGCCGACCTATTTAGTCGGTGTAGTTCTAAACACGCCATGCAAGCTCATTATGTATATATTCTTAATTCTCTAGACTTTATATAATGAATGTTAAGAGATATCAATTCAAATTTTAATTTTTATATATCATTTGAATTGTCATTTTTATATTAATAGATGTTTAAAATATTATCATATTAATTAATAATAAGATATTATATATATTAATAAAATATTGATACGTGTATTATCACGATAAGAAATTACATTTAAAATATTAGCACGTGTATTTTGGGAGTGCAACTGACCGGAAAAGCACTTTCAGTAGCCGGCGGCGGTCAGATTGTTTTCCTTCTTTCCTACTCTCTCATTCCCCCGGTGTTGCGTTTTTACTTTATTTTTCATTTTTTTTATGTTAGAGATATCAATTCAAATTCTAATTTTTATATATCATTTGAATTGTCATTTTTATATTAATAGATGTTTAAAATATTATCATATTAATTAATAATAAGATATTACATATATTAATAAAATATTGATACGTGTGTTATCACGACAAGAAATTACATTTAAAATATTAGCACGTGTATTTTGGGAGTGCGACTAACCGAAAAAGCACTTTCAGTAGCCGGCGGCGGTCAGATTGTTTTCCTTCTTTCCTACTCTCTCATTCCCCCGGTGTTGCGTTTTTACTGTATTTTTCATTTTTTTTATTATTAATTTGATTAAAAAAAAGTTATTATAGAATGTGGTTATGCTTGTTTTTGTTTCTATAAAACAATGATATGAGACCGTAGATTCTCAATCTTGCGATCTAAAAAAATTTTACGGATCCGGTACTATAGTCACGTCGTCTTTTTTCTCGTTTTTCTGATAATTCGATGAGATGAGATTTGCTTATTTGGCTGCTGAATGCTGATAGTATATTTATCGTAATAAACCAAAAAATAAAATAACAAAATAACAAAACGACACAAAAAATTGGACTCGTGGCTTGTAATACACGTAAAACGAAGAGCAAAGTCTATTGCCCTAGACTGCCGCCATATCCGTTCCAACATAAAGCTCTCTACTCTCTACTCTCTACTATCTACTCCCCGGCGTAAGTCTTCTTCCTCAAAATTTCCGATTTGATCTGAAATCTTCGCATTTCTCCGCTTGTGTGCCCTAGAGTGATAGCGATTCGGCGAACAATGGACGTCGACGGAACAAAAAGCGCGGCGGTGCCAGAATCGGTGATGGATTCGGTGAAGCGAACTTTGGTCAATGTAGAAGAAGTTCGAACTCAGTGTCTCGATGTCTTGTCTCTTTCAGACCCAGAAGTTCTCGCCGAATTGCCCCCTCTGCAACGCGCCGAGTCTCTGCTCTTGCTCGCCAAGGCCACTACGACCCTTTTCGCGGGTAAAAACCCCAGCTCGCTTTTAAAACAAATTCCTTTTGCTTTCGATTTTGAACATTGTTTCTCTTTATGCATAAAGTTGATTTTTATTAGTTTGTTTGATTTTTCTTTTTTCAGTGAGGCTGAGATGTAATGGAGTTGACCCAGATGAGCATCCCGTCAAATCCGAGTTTGTAAGTTTTTGGGTGCCTTGTTTTTTGGGTTTCTAATCTTGTATTCGGCCTAATTAGTGTCTCATCTTGAAATTTCGGTTTTTGATTATATGGGTAGATTTTGTTATGTGAGGATGTAAGAGAATAATCTATCAATTTCGAGGTTATTACGGATTGATTATTGCGTTTGAGATTTTTGGCTTTTGTCCGTTCTTTCTAAATTTTTCATTTTTTTGATTATTTTTTCTGGTTCCTGGTGCTTGCAGGAAAGATTAAGCTTGTATCAAGATAAACTAGAAAGGTTTCTTGATTTGAGCAAAGGTAAGTGTTTCTTTTTTGCAATACCGTTTTTACACGGATCATCCTTTTTAAGTTGTCTCCTTATACTCCAAACTTAAACGGCTGAATAACTGGGACTGATATGCCAAATTAGAATTTATGTTTCTATCATCTAATTGTAAGGTTTTATTTTCTGGTCAATTATCTGTTAAGGATTAGACATACATTTTGGGGCAATGGATTTAGTTTTACATATTTGTAGCTAGTGGTATGGATTTAAAATTCTTTTGGAACCTTTCTTTTGCGTCAATAAAATTCTACCATAACCATATCTTTCTATTTCCAGTTGCTGAGAGTTTGAATTTGCTCCTGTAGCGCCTGTTCGACCTTCTACCACGTTAAACTTTCAGGCAGCAACCCGTTTTATCGAGCATTCTTTGCCTGACCTTACCCCAGGTTAGTGGGCATATGCTTTTTTGCTAGGACCATGACTTCTCCAACATCTTGGTTTTTGGTACAATTCAGTTGAAGATTTGTTTATTTTGTACAGAGCAGAGGCAAAGTATGAGAAATATTAGTAAGGGAGAGGGAAAAAAGATAAAGTATGTAGAGACGAATGTCCAAAAGAAGAGGAAGTACCCATCGACAGAGAAAAAATCTGTTCAAACTGCTGCCAAGGAATTTCTTGAGAAAGCAGCCTGGGAGCTTCTTGGTGATAATAACGATGGTTTTAAGGGACCTCTGCGGGCTGAAACTTCAGAAGATGAAGAAGAAGACCAGGCTATGAGCTGATTTCATGATCCCTCAAGGTGTGGTCTCCTGGTTTATTCCTGTTATGCTTTTGTTAATCTTATTGTTTTGTTATTGTTGATAGTTTGATGTTAGATATGATATATTAGAAGTTTTGCCAGGAAAAGGGAACCATATATTGCTGATTATTACTAATGAAATAGGTTTTTAACGAGATGTCATCACTATTCGCACTAACCCAAAATGTTTTTCATCGTCGTTCATCAATTAACAGGGATCTTCTCTTTTGATTTTTGTCATCTAGGGCTAGAAATCAGTCGATGACTTTTTTGCCTCCACCAAGTTTGCTTTTAGAGATTTCATTCCTTCTTGTCTGTTGTCAAAGATTCTTGTTTGGGATTGGGTTGCTTAAATTCTCCTTAGTGCATTACTATTGTGCGCCAAGTTAATATTTGCTTTTATAGGGAGCATTCTGGACATGTAAGTAGTTAAAGTTATTTGTTCTATCAAAGTTGAAGACTTGCCTTAGCTTTAGCCTTACAAAGGTGATAGGCCCCCTGTACGTTTTTACCTATGCAGAAACTTGGACGCAAAGGAGGAAGCAAAGGAGGCGAAGGGCAAGGGATTTCAAGTGACATTTCTTGCCTTAGCTTTAGCCTTACAAAGGTGATAGGCCCCTGTACGTTTTTACCTATGCAGAAACTTGGAGGCAAAGGAGGAAGCAAAGGAGGCGAAGGGCAAGGGATTTCAAGTGACATTAGGAGTGCTGAAGTGGCAGGAGGTGAATCATCAACTTTGGGTGATGACAGGGAGGGTGAGTTGGCAGTCATGGAGACGCCTATTGGATGCAATGATGTGGGAATGCTCAGGAGAGAGAAAGAGCATTAGGATTGATGCTGTTAGTTAGTTATAGGGAAGCGAATAAAACAGGAGCTGATTGGTGGAGGGAGGGTATCGATCAACTTTCACCATTTTCTGTACTTAGACGAGCATAAGAGAGTGCAAGGGGTCACTCGAAAACCCCCATATCCTTGTATTTTCTAGCATTTATTCAATCTAAGTCTAATTACATAGCTTGATTGATATGTTTTTCTTCCTATTTTCCTATTAAATTTGAGTTGCTTGAGTTGATTGTATTAAATTGGTATCAGAGCGTTACCTGGGAATGGCTCCAACGAAAAAGCAGGAAGAGAGAGGGGAGGGAACACTAGACGAGGTGCAGAAGGAGATGGAACAGTGTAGGGATGAGGTGTTGAAGATCCCAAAATTGGAGAAGGGAATGGAGCGTATCCTCAGGAAGCTGGAAGAGTTGATGCGCCAAAAACCAGGGTTGGCGCAGAAGGGGGAGGCCTCGTCGTCATCATAGCTCTCGCTGACACAGTTGCTGGTGACTGTTGAAAAGGAAGGGCGAGGCCACGAAGAGGTGCTGCGATTGGAGTACCGCGCTTGGAGAGTGGAGATGCCTACCTTTGATGGCGGGAATCCCGACGGGTGGATCTTTAAAGCGGAGAGATACTTCTCCATGAGCCAAATGGGTGAGAAGGAAAAGCTCGAAGTGGCGGTGGTTAGCTTGGACGGGGAGGCGCTGGCGTGGTTTTTGTCGGAAGATGGCCGACGTGCGATCTGAGACTGGACGAAGTTAAAGACGATGGTACTTGAGTGCTTCCCACCTACGCAGGACAGTAACCTCTACGAGAAATTCCCCGCACTGAAGCAGGTGTCAACGGTGAGGGAATATAGGCGGCAGTTTGAGGTTATGGCGGTGCCATTGACGGACGTTTCTAAGTCGGTCTTGGAAGGGAACTTCATCAACGGCCTTAAACCTGATATTCGGGCGGAGATTAGGATGCTGAAGCCATTGGGCTTGGGCCAGATCATGGAAATGGCCCAACGTGTAGAAGATAGGAACCTTCAGCTTTGTGGGCTTAAGGGGACAATGGGCTCTGCTGGGCTTTGCGCCAAGGGCCCAAATTCGAACCCTAGTGCTGGAAATCGGGGCACGGCCTCTTCACCCAGCTGTTCTGACACAGATTGCCGAAAAAGGTGGAGGCAGTGCGGCGATTCCCTTTCGAAGATTGTCGGATGCGAAACTTCAAGCCAAGAGAGAGAAAGGATTATGCTATAGGTGTGACGGCAAGTACACGATTGGTCATTGATGCCCAAACCGAGAACTACAGGTGTTGGTTTTCAAGGAGGAAGAGGAGTAACCGGATTCTGACGATGACACAACGGGGAAGTGTGTGACTGAAGAGGTGGCAGAGCTCTCACTGATTCGGTTGTGGGTCTTACAGCACCACGGACCATGAAGCTTGAGGGATAGATTGGTCAACATGAGGTAATTGTTTTGATTGATAGTGGAGCTTGTCACAATCTTAATTGGGAGAAAGGCAATTCCTTTTCATTGAAACGAATAGGTTACAATAAGCTCAATTACTGCAGTATAAAGAATAGGAAAGAAATCTCTACAAAATAGGAAACTACCCAAACAGAAGATACACCTAACAAAAACTCCTAGAAATCAGGAAATTACACACAATCCTCTGCAATCACATGGTTTCCTAATAAAGCCACATAATTTAACACTCCCCCTCAAGCTGGTGAATGTATATCTTCCATTCCAAGCTTGCTGACAATGTCTCAAAACATAGTGCTCGGCAGTCCCTTTGTAAGTACATCTGCTAGTTGATCTTTTGTTGAAACAAATGGAGTGCATATTAATCCATTGTCAAGTTTCTCTTTGATAAAATGTCTGTCAACTTCAATGTGCTTCGTTCGATCATGTTGAACAGGATTATGAGCAATACTGATGGCTGATTTGTTATCGTAGTATAGTTTCATTGGTCCTTCCCATTTTATCTTCAAATCATCAAGAACTATCTTCAACCATAGCAGTTCGCATATTCCCATTGCCATTGACCTAAACTCGGATTCGGCACTCGATCTTGCCACCACGTTTTGCTTACTCCTCCACGTTACAAGATTTCCACCTAGGAAAGTACAATAGCCCGAGGTTGACCTCCTGTCAACCAATGATCTTGCATAATCCGCATCAATATAGGCCTCTAACGTCATACCTTCTCCCTTCTTGAACAAAATACCTCTTCCGGGATTGCCCTTCAAGTATTGCAAGATTCTATGAACAGCCCTGAGATGTGTCTCTTTAGGATTGTGCATAAATTGGCTGACAATACTCACTGCAAATGCAATATCTGGTCTCGTATGTGCCAAATAGATCAACTTCCTAACAAGCCTCTGATAAGAGCCTCTATCCACCACGGGATCCTCTGGAGCATCACATAGTCCGTGATTGAACTCAATAGGTGTTAACCGGCTTACAGCCCAACTTCCTTGTTTCCTTTAGTAAATCAAGCACATACTTCTGTTGAGAGATAAAGATCCCTTGCTTTGAATGTGCCACTTCAATGCCTAGGAAGTATTTTAATTTTCCAAGTTCCTTGATGTCAAATTCTCTTAAGAGGCACCGCTTTAAGTTGTTCATTTCTCATGCATCATTGCCCGTCACTATAATATCATCCACATACACCAACAAAGCGGTCACTCCCCCTGAGTTAGAGTGTCTCACAAATAGAGTATGATCGCCTTGGCTCTGTTTATATCCCAAGATAGTCATTACCTTGGTGAATCTTCTGAACCAAGCTCTCGGTGTTTGTTTGAGTCCGTAGAGAGCCTTTTTCAATTTACACACCATGCCCTCTTTAGATTCAAACCCAGGAGGAACCTCCATATAAATTTCCTCTTCTAGGTCATCGTGGAGAAAAGCATTCTTGACATCAAACTGTTGTAGGTTCCACCCAAAATTAGCAGCCAACGACAGAAGAACCCGTACTGTGTTCATCTTTGCAACCGGGGCAACCGTCTCTAAATAATCAATGACGTAGGTTTAAGTGTACCCTTTGGCGACCAACCTTACCTTGTATCTTTCTACAGAACCGTCAGACTTGTACTTCACAGTCAAAACCCATCTACATCCAACCAATTTCTCCCACGTCTTGTTCTTTTCAAGAGCTTCCATCTCCATTTTCATAGCATCCTCCCACTTCTTGTCTCCTAATGCCTCAGATAAATTTCTCAGAATGGGAATTGTATGAAGGTTGCTAAGGAAGGCTCTATGGCTTTGGGATATGTTTTGGTAGGTCATGAACAGGTTTAGTGGATGTTTTGTGCGAGTTCTGGTTCCTTTCCTAAGAGCAATTGGTAGGTCAACATCACTTGGTTCTTCATGTTCTTCTACGGGTTAAATGGGCTCAGCTGATGGTGTGATATTTTCAGTATGTCTGGAAGAGATTTCGGGAGTCAGAACAATAGTACGAATAGGAGATTGTACCTGTACCGATTGAGAGATTGGGATTTTCTTCCTGGAATAAACCTGCAGTGGTTGAATATTGTCTTGTTTCTCCTTATCTTTCATCATTCCATATGACGTGGGTGACTCAACAAATGGTGTAGACTTAAAAGGAGTGGACTGAACAAGTGACTCAACATGTGCGGGTTCAACAGATGGTGAAACAGATTCAACTGGAGACTCGGGTGGATCGAATTGACTAGGAAAATCAAGGAGAGAAAGGTCATTTGCTCTATCTTCACTCAAGGTCTCCCCTTGAAGATAGGACTGCTGGAAAAAGGACTCATTCTCGACAAAAGTAACATCAGCCGAGACATAAAATTTCCTAGTAGGCGGATGGAAGCATTTGTACCCTTTTTGTGTAGAAGAGTATCCTATGAAAATGCACCGAACAGCACGTGGGTCGAGTTTCCCTCTGTTTTGTGAGTGAACATGAACAAAGGCAACACTTCCAAAAATTCTAGGAACAAGATTATTGGAAGCATTAAAGTTTGGAAAAAAATTTAGTGAGAATTGTAACTGGACTTGGAACTCAAGGACTCGAGTTGGAAGTTTATTAATAAGATGGGCAACGGTCAAAACGGCTTCTCCCCAATATTGTTTAGGGACGTTTTTGTGAACAATAAAGCTCTTGTTATATTTAAAAGATGACCATTTTTATGTTCGGCTACTCTGTTTTGTTGAGGGGTACTAACACAAGATAACTCATGAATAATCCCTTCTTTTTGAAAAAATTGGGAAATAATTTGATTGAAATAATCCCTGGCATTATCAGAACGAAACCGCTTAATTCTCACATCAATTTGAGTTTTGATCATGTTTTAAAAATTAGGAAAAACACTACCAACATCATATTTGTGTTTCAGGAGATAAATCCACGTTACTCGGGTACAATCATCAATAAATGAAACAAACCACTTAGCACCAGAAACATTTGGAACCGTAGAAGGTCCCTAAATATCACTATGAATGAGAGAAAAAAGAATGAGTGTTCTTGTATTGCTTATTGGAAAAGAAGCACGTTTGTGCTTGGCAAGTTCACAATCATTACAATAAAAAGTTTCAACAGTGGACCCTTTGAATAACATAGGAAACATCAACTTAAGGACACTAAAAGACGGATGACCTAGACGACGATGATAAAGCCAAATCTTATCTTTATTTGACATAACAGACTCGGAAAGGAATGATGTAGATAGGGAATTCTCAACACTAGTTCTTCCACTTTGGTCTTCCAGGTAGTAAAGACCGCCCCTTTCACTAGCACGTCCAATCATCCTCCTCGTGCTCTGCTCCTGAAATACACAATATGAAGGAAAAAAAGTTACATTGCAATTGGAGTCTTTGGTAAGCTTTTGAATGGAAATGAGGTTTGTAAACGGTTTTGGAACATGAAGGACATTTTTAAGTGTGAGAGAGTCGCTTATATAAATGTCCCCTTGACCGGCTATAGTGGTAATAGACCCATCAGCTATAGTTATTTTCCTATGACTAGAACAAGGAGTATAGGAAATAAAAAAACTTGGAGGAACAAGTCATGTGATCAGTGGCTCCGGAATCAAATCACCCACATCTTTGAAGAAATTTTTTATGAGACATTAACAACACAAGAGGAAGAAGAGATACCTGAAAACACCAGTGAACACGTACTTGCCGAGGAAGGTTTCTCAAGGGACCCCAACAACATCTTCAACTTATCAATTTCTTCTTTGTCGAATCCTGAAATTGAATTTGGTGGTACCTCGTCATTGCTCGAATAACTGTGAGCCACGTGTGCTTGTCCTTGCTCGTTTGTAGCAAAATTTCTGTTTATATTCGGAGGTCTCCCATTGAGTTTCCAGCAATTTTCCTTAGTGTGTCGATGTTTCTTGCAATACGAACACCACAAGGAATCTTTGTTGGATTGTCTCGATGGTACAACCTGTCTATTATCCTCTTTTTGGCGTTGTTCCGAGCCAAAACTCCGTACAGCCTGTCTATTATCCTCCTTTTGGCGTTGTTCCGAGCCAAAACTCCTTGTGCTATTAGCCTTTGACACCAAGGCTGAACTCTCCACAGTGTGCGCTTCAATCATAACCCCTCTTCTTCCTTCTTCAGCAAGGACCAGAGCAATTGTCTCATTCAACGATGGCAGATCGTCCTTTCCAAGTATTTGTACCCGTACAACATCAAACTCAACATTCAACCTTGCGAGAAAATCAAAGATTCGTCCTTTTTCAACAAATCCTTTAAGAATGGCTGCATCATCACTACACTTCATTTGAATGCATTGGTAATGGTCTATCTCTTGCCAAAGACCTTTCAAAAGATTAGAATATTCCGTGATTGACCGATTTCCCTACTTGGTGGCTGAGATTTTGGTATTGATTTCATAAATTTGGGCAGCATCGTTCACTTTTGAGTAGGTTTCTTTCACGGCATCCCATATCTCCTTCGCCGTACTCAAACGCATACATGTGTTGCTGATTTCTAGTAGCATAGAGTTCCATAACCAGGACATCACAAGCGAGTCCTATTCATTCCAAGCATCAAACTTAGGGTCTCCCTGTTTAGACCCATTACCCGAGCAAATGATTCAGTTTGCCTCTTCCCTTCAAAAACGTGCGAACCAATTGAGACCACTTTAGATAATTCTTTCCGTTTAATCTGTAAGCAGCCTGAATATTCTGCAAATCCCCTGTAGAAGAGTTGATGTTGCTCTCGGTCGAGGAAGTCACAGAAGATTCGGTCGTGTTGCTGGTTGTAGATAAGTTTGTCATGGTGCTTGGATAAGTGGATAACGTTTTAGAGGGTAATAATGAAAAGAGGAATAAATGGTTGCTCTTACGATAAAAGAGATTCAAGCGAACAGCGGGCAGCAACAAAGCTGAAAAATAACGCTGGAATCGCAAATTAGAATAAGGTTGAAAGAGGCAGAAAGTATCGAGAATAAACAATCCAGAAAAGAGCCTAGGGCTCTGATACCATGTCACAATCTTAATTAGGAGAAAAGCAATTTCTTTTCATTGAAACGAATAGGTTACAATAGGCTCAATTATATACACGGTACTGCATTCTAAAGAATATGAAAGAAATCTCTACAAAATAGGAAACTACCCAAACAAAATATACACCTAACAAAAACTCCTAGAAATCAGGAAATTACACACAGTCCTCTACAATCACATGGTTTCCTAATAAAGCCACATAATTTAACAGAGCTACCCACAATTTTATTTCTTCAGAGTTGGTTAATAAGTTGAAATTGCCATTAGACACCACTGGGAGTTATGGCGTGATTATGGGTACGGGGTTGTTAGTGAAGGGTGAGGGGGTGTGTAGGGGTGTGGCGTTGACCTTGCAAGCGGTAGAGGTCATCGAAGACTTTCTTCCTTTAGAATTGGGAAGCTCGGACATTATTCTAGAGATGCAGTGGTTGGAAACTTTGGGGTCGATGACGGTTAATTGGAAAATCTGTCGATGAGGTTCAAAATAGGGGAAAATTGGGTGGTATTACAAGGGGACCCCGGGTTGTGTAGATATGCTATTTCATTGAAGGCGTTGGTCAGGGCCTTGAAGCAAGAAGGGCAGGGGGTGTTGTTGGAGCTAGGGTCGATGTTGGTGAAACATCCTTCTTCGAGGAAAGGCAAGGAAGTTGTACCTGCAGCCCTGCAAACATTGCTTCAGAAATAGAAGGTAGTTTTTGAGATGCCATTGGATTTGCCCCCTCCAAGGGAGCGTGATCATGCCATAGTCTTGAAGGAAGGGGCATCTACCATTAATGTGAGGCTCTATCGATACCCGCAAGCATAGAAAAATGAAATTGAAAGGCTTGTTGGGGAGATGTTAGCAGTGGGAATTATTCATCCTAGCATGAGTCCTTACTCTAGTTCGGTTCTCTTGGTCAAGAAGAAAGACGGTAGTTGGAGGTTTTGTGTGGATTATCGTGCTCTAAACAAGGAGACGGTGCCGGATTGATTTTCGATACCGGTAATAGAGGAGTTGCTAGATGAGTTGCATGGCGCAACGATATTCTCAAAGATCGACCTCAAGTTGGGATATCACCATATTCGGGTTTGGTCGGAGGACGTGCCCAAGACAACATTTCGACCACATGCGGAACATTACAAATTTCTCGTAATGCCATTCGGCCTCGCATCGGTTGACAAGCAGCTTACTAAATGAGACAGTATGCTTGATGTCTTGAAGCTTCATCTTTCGCGCGCCCAACAGAAGATGAAGTCTTGGACCGATTCCAAGTGCTGAGATGTTCGGTTTGAGGTGGGCGAGCTAGTTTTCTTGCAGCTTCGACCGTACCCGCCAGAAGACTCTAGCTTATTGCCGCAACGAGAAGCTAGCCCGTTGCTACTATCGGCCAATTCGCATGTTGGGGCTGTTGCCTACTGCCTGCAACTTCCGTTCCACCTCCATCATCCCGTCTTTCACGTCTCGCAGTTGTGTCGCGCTATTGGGGCAGCAACAACCATCCCCACACTGCCACCTAATCTGTCCAAAGACATGGAACTTCAGGCTGAACCTGTCGCCCTGTTGAGTGTTCGCCATAGTGTACGCAGTTCTGATTCTGGCCTGGAAGTGCTGATCCACTGGGATACTGCCTTCCTATGATGATACCTGGGAGTCTTTTGATGCCATCAATAAGCAATTTCCTACTTTGCACCTTGAGGACAAGGTGCTGAATTGGGCGGGGAGTATTGATAGGCCCCCTGTACGTTTTACCTATGCACGTCGTAAGAAACTTGGAAGCAAAGGAGGCAAAGGGCAGGGGTTTCAAGTGACATCAGGAGTGCTGAAGTGGCAGGAGGTGAATCAGCAACTTTGGGTACTGACAGAGAGGGTGAGCTGGCAGTCATGGAGACACCTATTGGATGCAATGATGTGGGAATGCTCAGGAGAGAGAAAGAGCATTGGGATTGATGCAGTTAGTTAGTTAGAAGGGAGCGAATAAAACAAGAGTTGATTGGTGGAGGGAGGGTATCGATCAACTTTCACCATTTTCTGTACTTAGACGAGCTTATGCTCTACGGAGTGCAAGGGGTCACTCGAAAACCCCCATATCCTTGTATTTTCCAGCATTTATTCAATCTGAGTCTAATTACAGAGCTTGATCGATCTGTTTTTCTTCCTATTTTCTTGTTAAATTGGAGTTGCTTGAGCCGGTTGTATCGAAAGGACTCAATTATTTTAACTCCTTTTTTGTTTTTTTGTTTTGTTTTTTTTTATTTGTTTTTGTTTTTGTTTTTTTTGTTTTTTTTGTTTTGTTTTTGTTGTCGTGGTATTGACAGGTTTCTTTGTTTTCTCTCTTCACAGAATTTCTGCCGAGACCAGAATGGTCAGTATTTGTGATTGACCCCGAACGACTGTTGATCCATCCTTGCGCAAGATTTTCTGGAATCTTGGTTTTTGCAAAAGAACTTCTGAGAAAGTAACCCCCTGTTTGGTGAGAAGGAATCGTAATTCAGGTGTAGTAAATTAGCATTTTGCAATATGCCTTTTTGTTGGAGGAAAAAGGTGTCGGATGACCCTTCCGTGCTATGGAGATCTGCTTTCTGTTGGTTTTCATGCCATGTGGGAGTACCCTGAAGCTGGTTTATAAACTATTGTTTTAGGTGGCCATCATGATCTACCTTGTGTGAGACGTTCAACACTAATTGGTAGCCCTTTTCTTAAATTTTCTTAATGCATGTATTAGTGTTGCCTGTTGATGATTATGACGACTTCAAGTAGAATGGCAATAGCGTTGCTTCTTCAACGGGTTTCAAGTAGTGAATTGTTTTGGGAAGAACAAAAGTGCAACACTTACGGATAGAATTCAACCTACAAGTTCTCAACAATAATGTTAGTAATAATAATCTAGAATTCTTCAGTTATTGTAAATTAAGAAATTGGGCTCGAATTAAAAAAAAAAAAAAAAAAAGAGAGAGATTGAGCTCAATTGTAACTTATTCCCAAAGACCAAAGTGGTATTGAGGATCGAGTATCGGAGAAAATGAATGGTAAGTCACCAAGTCCTAATGTAGGGAGCTTTGCCCAAGTGCCACCCAACCAATCTTGGGTTGATTTTTTCCATGAAAAGAAGTTTCAATTAAATTCCACAACACATTGAAAGTACTAAAAACTGCCTGTCATACTAGTAAATAATTCTCCACCAGTGAGTCAGTGACCAATGGACGGGGGTAAGGATGAGGAAGAGAAAAGAAGTGAGAGAAGGGAAGAGGGAGAATTTTTTTTTTTTTAAATATATAAAAGAATTTTACATATAACATATTTCATAAATAACAAACATTGAAATTGTTAAAATAATTACTACATCATTGTGTAATTTAAAATGTGGATATCGCATATTAGTTCTTCATATATTAATTATTTTTAAAACATTTTAAAAAATGTATATGTTTCAATCACACTCTCATAAATTACTTACGACAGCTAGTGAGCTTGTTTATTGAGATATTGTTTATTGAGATATTTAGGCAATATGTTGCTTTTTAAGGTTAGATTGATTTTTATCATGAGTATTAAAATTATTATAAAATATACCATAATAATATCATTTAAGTTTTACATACTTAGTAAAATTATATTTATACGTTTATGTATTTGATTCAGCATCTTTGAATTTTATGATAATTTTATTATTTTTTATCTATATATTTATAATTTTTATAAATTTTACGTTTTTTAAGTATATTCTAATTGTACATTCTTTATAATAATTTATTAATCTGAATATATACCAATCTAAACATAAAACGTGTCTCGAGACATGTGTCAATCGAACCATACTGTAGCCCACGAAAGTCCAAAACTGCAACCACAGCTTCACGTATTCCACCTTCTCTAATTTTGTTTTTATTTATTTACTTTTTTCCATTTCCTTTTAATCTTCCTTTCCAAGTTTCAACTGATTCATTCAATTCAACCGACTTCTGCTTCTGCTTTTTCTTCATCGTCGTCAATGGCTTCCACCACCACCACTGCTTTAACCTCACACCTCCTCACTCAACCCAGATACCGCCTCCCTTTCCGTAAGCTCTCCTCTCTTTTCTCTTCATCCTATATATATATATATATATTTTTTTTTTTAAATGCTAACCGCTAATCAATTCAGACCCAAATTTGTATTTCTGCGTAATTCATTCGACGAAATATGCTCATGATTAGTTATTGGTTCTGCTCTACACGCGCAATTGATTCCGATTTCGTGATTAAGTAGCCATTATTCGTTAACATCTTGTTGGACTAAAATTGAACTGACCCATCTTCCATAATTTGGGTTTTCTCTGTTCGCGTTTCTTGATAAATCTTGATAACCTTTGATGATCATGAATGATGTGAAGATTTTGATGTGAAGATTTTGATGTTTTCAGTTATGAAGCAACGCCACGGAGGGATTATATAACCATTAGTGTATAATATATCCGTTTTCCTCCTCTTCATATACTCATTTTCTTTTTTTGGGGATGGAATTTTTGGTGTGAACTTTCTTCCATTGATTTCTGATGGAAATCAAGCTTAACATCTTGTAATGCGTCCAGGTGAAGTGAACTCATACGATGGCGGTCCCTCAACTCTATCTTGGCCTAATTGTAAGACTGGGAAGAGAACACAATCACTTCGTGTATATGGCTCATTTGGTGGGAAGAATGAGAAGAGTGATGATGGACCTTCAAAGGTTTAACCATTTACTCTTTATAGTTTTGTTAATCATTAGCTCAACTGTTATATTATTAGTGGGTAAGGATTATTTTTTGATTCTATTCTCATTCGTAACTTCATATTTGCAAAGCTATTTTAGCAAATGCTAATTCTAAGTTGAGGTTCTGATAAATAAATGTAAGATGCCCTTTTTCATTTGACCTTATTCAATTCCCATTCAACCAAGTTGTCGTTGAATTGAAACCTTATGTTCCTTTTCTAACCCAACACCTGTCAAGAACAAAGAGAAGGAAATGGACATAGATTAAAGATTCTGTATGTGTTTTGACACACATTACATCTTGCTTTATTTATTTTTTATTTTATTTTATTTTTTTGCTCAACATCAAATCTTGCATGTTTGTTTCTTCCTGCTGATTCTTTTTCTCTTTTTTCTTTTGAGCCATTATAACTACTAATACCGTTACTACTTTAGTATTGCTGAGTTTGCTGTAAATGTGACACCCTCATAGTTAACTAGATCCAAAATGTGATTAATTGTACTCTTTTATCTAAACAAGGGCACATTGTCAGTGCCAGTACTACATTTCTGTCTTCTTTCTTCTTGTTCTTCCTTTTCTTTTTTTCCTTTTTGTTTTTTAACAGTAGCTTTATGTGCCTTTGAGTTCAGGCTGGAATATTGGGTAATATGCAAAATCTGTATGAAACTGTTAAGAAAGCCCAGATGGTGGTACAAGTTGAAGCAGTACGCGTGCAGAAAGAGCTTTCGGAGTATGTTACTGTTCTTGCTTTCATTTTCTGATACTAATATTCCATTTTCAATAGGAAGTAAACCTTTTTTTTTTCTTTTTTTTTTTCTCTGTTTTGCAGAGCAGAGTATGATGGGTATTGTGAAGGTGAGCTTATAAAGGTATGGCTTTCTTCTTTTCTTAGACATTCTTCACTACAGTGCTTATTCTGCCCAACTCTGTAAAGGTAGTCATATGATAATGCATTAGCAATAGGCTCAAATTCTGGAACATAAGATTGGTGTCAAATTTTTTTTTTAATTATTATTGTTATTACTATGTCTATTACAACTCTTTAGTGGATTAGTTCACATATAACTTGCTGATTAAATTTTTACCCAGGCAACCCTTACTGGTAACCAGCAGCCAGTGTGCATTGAGATAACTGATGCTGCCATGGAACTTGGAGCCGAAGTACGTGAAAGACGCTAAATAGCATCGTATCTCATACCAATTACTATAGCAAGTTATTTATTTATTTAGTTATTTTTAGAGTATGAAGGGATCTTGTGTTTTACATTTTTTTTATTTTATTTTTGGAATGCAGAAACTCTCTCTTTTGGTTACCGAAGCATACAATAATGCCCACCAGAAGAGTGTCCAGGTTGATCTAATTATCCTTTCTTCTGGCAATTGTTTTTTGGGCTCCTTCTCTGCTTCTTAGGTTACACACTGATATTTGGTTTAACTAATACTGATATGTTCTAGCCAAAAAAAAGAAGTTAATATCATTGTTATTTTTGAATTCTTAGGCCATGAAGGACAGAATGAACAATCTTGCCCAGGGTTTAGGAATGCCAGAAGGCCTCAAAGATATATGAGTTTCTGCAACCTCAAAGGAGACGAATTTTGTTAATCGACTCTGAATAGCTTATGGGATGATTGTCCCGTTGAATTCGCCTTTTTGGTCTAATATCTGAAAATAGTTTTAACCAACATTGCACCATCGTATTTTACCTAGAAGCAAATCTTTGTCTTGAAAATTATGATAGCAAGTTCTTGATGAAATACTTCCGCCAACCTTATGAATAATTCACTGACTTGGAAGTCGCAAGGAATTATATTTAAAGAATAGAACTCCTGCATTCGGATAGAATCACAGCACACCAAGCTAGTCTCACTAGTCTTGACTTTAGCTTTCTTTTCTTTCTTGCTTTCCTGGTTCGCACTTTCCAGACTCGGGTCAGGTCAGGATTAAATTAACCTTATTCCCGTCAGTTTCACTCTATTTTCTTTCAATGGCATCCGCTTTCAATTAATTAAGAAAGAGATTCCTCGGTGTGAACTCAGATAGGTACAGTGTCTGGTTTACGAGTGCCTGTACAGGCAGTGGCTAGATCATTTGCGTCAACGCAGCGACTCACCTTCTTGCTCTCAAAAGAAGGTCCGGCATCCTTTTCTTATTCGATAGCTAGACCGAATCGGGATGGGGCGAACATAATCACCAAGTTAAGTTCACGACTTTGTTTATGACCTCATAGCCACCATCCTTTTTCCAGGGTTTGACCCCCGCTCAGAATAAATGCAGTTCAAAAGGAAGGGGCGAGGAATGCCCCCGCTGAGAATAGAACAAAGGGTACTTTTTTATGATAATTGGTTGATTGGGGAAAATAATGACCTTAGAGCACTACCCGGAGACTTCCCTTGCCTGCTTCTCTCCGATGAAGGCGTTGGAAGTGCTGTTGATTGTGCTCCTCAAGGAAAGAAGGTCAATAATATCCGCAGTGGAGTAAGAATCCCCCTGGAACAATGGTCTAGCCCCATGGACTAGTCGTTCAGTAGTCTTATAGAGTGGTTACTCAATGGTCCAGTTGTTTAGCCCTACTAGCGGAGGCTAAGAATTAATGGCAGCTGTCGGCAGCGCACAACATAAGTCTCTAGCCTGTTGCAAAGCCTACCGTGAAGGGCCCAGCAAACGGAACTCAGAGCAGCTCAAGATCCCTACAGCACTACTCCGTTGGTGAATGTGTTAAGAATACTCATTCATGAAATCATATTACGAAAATTCTACTCCAATGTTACTGGATAAATTATTAGAGCCTTTAAGTTGTGATTATTCATTTATTTATATATTTATATCTGTCTCTCTGTATATAGTCTAGCAACATGACTTTCATATTCCCAAACATCATTTGTCACTAATGGGTACAAGTAGAAAATTCTTTTTATATTTCACAAATCACAAATATATATACACCCCGCCCCCTTATTTCTACTACTAGTACTAGTAGTGTAGTAGCTAGTGCTATATATACATGCAAGGTGTTTACAACAAATGACACAAGTCCTTATAATGAGAAACCGAAGTAACATTACATAATTGCCGCTGGCAAGAGGAGAGAATTGTTTAACTTATCTTTGAAGAGTGTATCGGTCTTGATTTTTATCTCTTATTCTTGATTAATACTCTTTTAACTAGTATAATTATTTGACTAAAATGCTATTAATCCCCGTTTGTATCGCTCCTTGTTAAGAATTTGAGTTAAAAAGTGAATTCATGTAAGAGAAAATACAGTAATAGAAAAGTTAAATTTGAATTTTTGTGAGAGAAAAAACACTGTAGCAAAACTCGAGTTATAATTCGAACTAATGAAACAAATAGAGGCCTCGACTCATAAACTCTAAAAGGATATTTGTTTCTTTTCTATTTACCTCAAATAAGACCATGTAAATTAAATTGATAAAAGAGCGCAAGTAGATTAAATTGATAAAAGAGCGTATGCGTGTGAAAATTAGTATTGATTTTTTTTTTTTTTTTTGCTTAATACTTTTAATAAAGAATAATTAAATTCTTAAGGTTAAGCCCTATAGATTGAACTTAGATAATGAATTCTGAATTATCCCTAAGTCTCACTACAACAAATTTTACATTATACGGCACTTATTTAACAACGCTTTAAGAAAAAATGTCATCTAATGTGGTGAAAAAATTCGGATCGAAGATTTCCGTGTTTCAAAAATTTCATACTATATATTAGATGATGATTTCTAGGAAACTGTCGTTAATTGTTAGACATTAAAAAACTATCGTCTAATGTCTACAAAAAAATAAAATTAAGAAAATTTGAGCACATTAGACAATAGTTTTTAAAGTTTCTAGGAAACTGTCGTTAATTGTTAGACATTAAAAAACTATCGTCTAATGTCTACAAAAAAAATAAAATTAAGAAAATTTGAGCACATTAGACAATAGTTTTTAAAACCGTCTTCTAATCTCCAATATTTAATGATTGTTTTTAAAATTCAAAAACAGTTGTTAATTTCAAAAACAGTCGTTAAATGTCAAAAAATTTCAAAAAAAAGGTGGACTTTTTCCTGCTCATCCTTTTCTTTTCATATTTCGAAACTTTTTCTTTCTCTTTTATAATATCGAGCACTCTCTTCCACTTTTCTCTAACTCTCATCTCCAAACTCTAATTTTTCTCTCAAATCCCCCTCTCACTTCCTCATTCTATCTCTTCCCCATTCCCTCTCTAATTTCTTCCCCTTAAATCCCAATGTCCGTGCACCGTTCTCATCACCCCTCTCCATTTTCGTCGTTGTCGCCACCCCTCTCCATGTTCGCCATCATCTCCGCCCCTCTCCAAGTTCACTGTCGTCACTCCATTGGCAAAATTTGGATTTTCTTTTGCATTCAAATTTTTCATTTGCTTTTTTCTTTGCATTTAATTATTTTTTGTTAGTTAGATTTGTGTTATATGTACATTGATGATGAATATTAGGAACAAAACGATTTGTAATAATTTTTTGTATTTTGTTATTCTTGTTGTTTGATGAAGTATGGGAGTTTTTTTCCTAATTTGTAAATAATATGTGAAATATTATTGTTTAGACAAGGATATGTTTTTTGAATATATTTTTATTAAAAGTGCTACATTTAACAACAATTTTTATAAAAAATGACGTTCAAAGTAGCACATTTAACGATGATTTAAAAAAAACCGTCGTCTAAAGTGCTTTTATTGGACTTTCACACTCATGTTAAATAACGGTTAAAAACCATCAACTGTGAATAAGACGATGGTTTTTAAACCGTAGGTTTTAACGACGGTTATTAACCGTCATTTAATATGCTATTTCTAGTGGTGTCTATAAATAGGAGATGAGCATGGGCGACGTTACGCTTTTCTTTAAACACCTGATTATTTATGTCTTTGATCTTTTAATAACCTCATGAGCTGGACCGAAGATTTTTTTTTTCTTTGCAAAAATCCACATTTCTTAAAATAATTCTAAAAAAAAATTCATGAAGCAACGTAATTGGAAACAGAAAAGTAATTTTCTGCTATATAACAAAAATACAACTGAATAATTTTCTCATTAATCAATTAGCTCAAGTTTACATTCAATGTTTCCATATATTTCGATGAAACAGATCATGTCATAGTTTAGATTATCCTCTAATTAGCTAGATTAGTGATTAAAGGCAGTGGTCTCTTGATGTTATAGTTGCTTAATTTCATTTTGTTTTTTTTCTTTTTTAAAGGCAAAAATGATTTGAATACAGTGACGTCCAGGCACAGTACTACCATTTTAAGCACGTCTTTCCTAATTTTGAAGAAGACAAACTTCCAACCGCCAAGCGATGCAAAAAGAGTTGAGTACGACTATATATCAATTTCATACATTTATACATGAGCGACATATTACAGTACTTAAGGTTACGTGGTAGCTTCAGCCGCCGCTAATTCCAAGTTGCGGCCTCTCTGATGACACGTAACACATGCAAGCATTTTCACATTTTACGTTTATATATACGTATGTGTGTGTACAAAGTACATATATGTGCGTGTGTGAAAGAACACGGTACCTAATTCGATCTTCAAATTAAGCCATATCTAGCTATATATATGTATATGTATATATATATATATATATATGGCTACCTTTCACATTTTTCATATTATCTGTCTTTCTGTCTTACTAGGTAAATCTTTTCTTCTATATATATGGACGACTTGCAAGTAATATCTGCCTGTAGAAATATCATATATACATATACACATATATATTCAATAGGAAATTATGATCCAAATGATAATCCTCGTGCATGCAGACGTAATCAAACGAGTGGATGCATGTATAGTTTTGCTCAAAGAAGACATGCGGTACTTAAAATATTTTCATGGATATGTCCACAAAAATATATATACTTGAAAATGGATACATTTGTAATTACACCAGGACTTTGTTGTCCCATGCACATAAATGGCACCTACTCAATTCTAGGGTGCATTATGACGTCGGTCTCTCATGTTTCTGTCATGCATTTATGTTTGAACAACTTCTTGTTGAAAAAGACGGTGATATTTTAACGTAGGATTAATATTCCTCTATTCAAATTCAGAATACTTTTTCAGCTTTTAATTAACTACTTAATTCATTAATGAAATGGAATTAATATGGGACTATACCTACTGGTAAGAATAATTTTTTGACTATTAAATCTAATTAAAATTTAATAAGATTAAAAAAATATTTAAAACAGATAATTTTTACTACAAATTTAATGTTTAAAAATAGTTAAAAAAATAAAAATACTAAAAAAATAAAAATACTAATAATTTTATTTTTCTGATGTTACAGAAACTTCTTAGAATATACTGATTACTTTGTTTTACCAAGTAGGTGGTCATCGGTAGCAAAATATTTACCAGGACGAACAGATAACCAAATAAAGAACTATTGGAATTCTCATTTCAGACAAAAAATTTACTGCTTTGCTCACCTGGGAAAAGAATTCTTGTTGAGTGTTGACCACCACGAATGTTGCTAAGTAATAACAATAATAATTTGCAACAACAATATTCATAGAGGTCGCGGAGGCCGAACAAGCCGAGAAGCCATTAACTTAAAAGAACAAGAACATCGCATCAAAAGTTCTTGATCATGATGAGTCATTTATCTTTATTGAAACAAAAAGAAGACGATCTGAA